TCTCACATGGGGACCGAGAGAAGGTCTTGCCATTATACATTTAAGTCCGAAAATATTTGGGGACACGCACTATTTTTATAACTATGGCTCTGCACGCCACCACCATGGATTTGAAATGAAACAGCTGAGATGCAATTGAAATGCAACCTTTCAGCTTTAATTGAAGGGATTGAACAAAAATATTGTATGAAGCAAGCAATCATTTTATTACACAGTCCCCTTATTTCAATGGCTTAAATGTCGTTGGACAAATTAACACAATCATAATTTTTTGACATTTTTAATACTTTGCCGAGAATCCTTGGCAGACAATGACTGCTTGAATCTGGAACACATGGACATCACCAAATGCGGGGTTTCTTGCTTTGTGATGCTCTGCCCAGCCTTTACTGCAGCGGTCTTTAGTTGTTGTTTGCTCGTGGGTCTTTCTGCCTTACGTTTTGTCTTCAACAAGTGAAATGAATGCTTGATTCGATTGAGATCAGGTGATTGTCTTAGTCATTGCAGAATATCCCACTTCTTTGCCTTATAAAACTCCTGGGATGCTTTGCCTTATTGTTTGGGTCATTGTTCATCTTTAAAGTGTAGCGCCGTCCAATCAACTTCGCTAGGTTTGTCTGAATCTGAGCATACATTATATCCCTATACACTTCAGAAAAAATCTGGCTGTTTCTGTCACATCAATAAATACATTTTTTCCCGATAGGGTGAAACACGTTATGGATTTTATCACACTGTTATTAATAAAATATTGTTTGGCTACCTTCATTTAGTTTTTTACCATATACTTAAAAAATATTTGATCTTTTACGGCTATTTCCTACCTAGCATCTCATCTTACCACCTGTTACATATGTGGACATCCGTTAAAGAATATTAGGAGGGGATTATACGACCCACGCTTGATACGTAGAGCAGTTTGTACTTAATACTGTAAGTAAGAAAGTACCTATTACTTGTGCTCTTATCCATACGAAGAGCACTATTGTTTTTTTCTTTTGCCACCTCACTACTATTTTCCTATGGAAGAGTACGAGAAAGATATCCTACAAGTGGGGATCTAAACCACTGTATGCGGAATATACTGGAGCTGGTCTAAGCTCCACATGGGAGTTGGTAGTTGTGGACTTATGTTGTATGTGCCCTATTTAAATTTACATATTCGACTATTGGATTTCCTGTTTTCTACTTTCTGTTATATGCATACATTAAAGGATCACTATAGGGTCAGGAACACAAACATGTTTTCCTGACCCTATAGTGTTAAAATCACCATCTAGCCCTCCTGGGCCCCTCATGCCTCCATAAATATAGTAAAAATCTTACTTTATTCAAGCCTGAAGCTGTAACACTGCATGCTGTTTGTCTCAGAAAAACAAGCAGTCTGCTGACATCATCAGAAGTGGTAGCCAGATCCAATCACAGTGCTTCTCTATAGGATTGGCTGAGACTGACATAGAGGCAGATCAGGGGCAGAGCCAGCATGATTCAAACAAAGCCCTGGCCAATCAGCATCTCCTCAAAGAGATAAATTTAATCAATGAATCTCTATGAGGAAAGTTCAGTGTCTGCATGCAGAGGGAGGAGACACTGAATGTTTGGATGCATTTTAGGCAGCCATGACCCAGGAAGGATCTCTAACAGCCATCTGAGGAGTGGCCAGTGAAGTTATCACTAGGCTGTAATGTAAACACTGCATTTTCTCTGAAGGTAATGATTCTACTCATCAGAATTCAATAAGCTGTAGTTGTTCTGGTGACTATAGTGTTCCTTTAAGCAAAGCCATAATCAGAAACACTTCACTTAGAATACCGTATATACTTGAGTATAAGCCGACCTGAATATAAGCCGAGGCCCCCAATTTTACCACAAAAAAATGGGAAAACTTATTGACTCGAGTATAAGCCTAGGGAAGAGGAAGAGGGAGAGGGAGAGAGACATTTTTACTTAAATTTATTTTGTAAAGCAGCCAAAATCCAAACTTGTGTCAGTGTCCAAATATTTCCAGACCCAACTGTAGATGTCAATGCATGGTGTGAGGCTGCCTCATAATACTGTAGTACATGAAGTAGATTCCACTGGATATATATATATATATATATATATATATATATATCCAACCTCACATACATTCAGCCACATGACATACTCGGCCACCTCCACACACTTGTGCTCATCCAGCCACACTCTGCCAACTAGACTCATACTTATACTCCACAAACCCTCACACAGTCACATTCACCCAGTCATCACAATCGCGCTCCGTCAACTCCCACATATTCACACACAGCCAGTACAAACATTCCATTCAACTCTACTACTTAGGATATGACAACAGGGGGAGGGACTCTTTGCACAAGTCCCATGTGGATTCTAGTTAAACCATTGATTATAAGCAACACTAAACACTACATGAATGCCAGCCAGCAACTCTAGCAGGAGACAACATCATGCACAGGTCTGTGCTACCGCTGTGCAGTCTGAGGATTGAGCAAGAGGAATACATAAAAGTAATTAGGCACAGAGACTCCTGCAACAGTACCACTGTAAATACTGACGAGCAGGTGGATATAATATGGGAACAGGGCTATTATTAATTAAACCATTAACAGCGACCCTATAGTTATCAGGAGAACTACACCTAATGTAGTTGTTCTCGTGTCTACTGCTTGTCCCTTCTTAAAAAAAAAAAAAAAAAGTCCATGTTTACATTACTGCCTAATAACACCTCTAGTGGAAGTCACTCAGGCATCCATTAGAGGTGCTTTCAGGGTCAGTGCTATGTTTAGCATCTCAACGCTTTGCATAGAGATGTACTGATTCAATGCATCTCTATAAGGAGGAGCGGATTGGCGCAGTGCAGTTTTTTCCTATGGGAAAGCAATGGATTGGCTGAGGTCATCAAAATTGGCCGGGTGTGTAGGGGCAGGATCAGTCACAAGGAGACTTGTGCGGCTCAGGGGGAAAAAAAGTGAGTAAATTGTCTTTTTAATGGGCAGTAAGGGAGAGGGGGGGAACCCTAAACCGCAATATTAAGCCTATTCGTTTGTATTCCTGTCACTATAGTGTTCCTTTAAACTTTCATTTTGACCTGACACTCAATCATCCTCATCCATAAATTTTATGTCCTCAACCCTTCACATATCCTAACCCCCTTTCCCTATAAGACAACCTTCTCCCTCCCCCGAAAAGAAAACTATTTATAGTTGAGACACTAAGTGCTAAAACAATTACAGCTAAATGTGGTCTGCCATAATTTTTTCCCCCCTTACTTTTCCTTTTCTTATACCTCTTGTATCTGAATGATCATACTCACCGTCTTGCCGCTTGCCTTTATTTATATTTATCTTTTCTTCCTAGTGCTGGACCGCAATACCATTAAGCCATTTCTATCTTCTCTGCCCATGAGATCTGCTCGCTATGAAAACACACATTCCTTTTAATTACGCATTTTTGTTCATTTGGGGAATATCTAAAAACAGGTTACAAAACAAAGATCTCTTCTCTACAGCCTTCGCAAGCCCTCCTCTGTCTTTCCCAGCCAAGACTTTCTGTGGCTATCGATTCTCAGACTTCCTAATGCAGCTCACTGAGAAGTCTTTGCAAGGCAGGTGCTCTGGGCAATTGCCACCCCTTGAGTTTAGTGCCACTGAGCTAAACAACCAGGAACAAGACCTGTTGTCTGATTGACAGCCAGCATGTGTAACAAGGCTAATTTATAAAAGTGTCAATTTAGTTTGAAATCTGAACTTTGGTAAAAGGAAAGAAAACACAATAGATGTCTATGAGGAAATGCCATGCATGCAATCACATTAGATTAGCAGAGATGATCAGTAATAAAGAGCTCAGACAGAGAGGAGTAACAGTCATGTTGAAACCAACATGCTAAGGAAATAAAAGTAAGGATGGGAGAGGAGGCATCCTTGGCTCTAAATAGGGCTTACATAACACAATGTTAGGAATACAGGTTAATATTCCTAACAAAGTGTTCCTTTAAGTAATTTGCTTTAATTATTGTTTTTTTAAAGGGACACTCCAGGCACCCAGACCACTTCTGCCCATTGGAGTGGTCTGGGTGCCAACTCCCACTACCCTTAACCCTGCAGCTGTAAATATTGCAGTTTTCATAAACTGCAATAATTACATTGCAGGGTTAACTCCTCCTCTAGTGGCTGTTTACTAGACAGCCACTAGAGGGCACTTCCTGGTTTCCAGCACAGGTTTTCTGTGCTAGAGCGTCGCTGGACGTCCTCACGCTGTGTGAGGACCTCCAGCGTTGCTCAATTTCCCATAGGAAAGCATTAGGTCTCCGCCGCTCGTGACCGCGCATGCACGATCGGTCTCCCCCCACCGGATGATGTCAGTGGGGGAGGAGCGTGGGCGGACCCGAAACCACCACCAGCAGGGTCTCAGGTAAGTCACTGATGGGGTTTTCACTCCTTCAGCAACATGGGATGGGTGGTGGGAGAGAGAGAGTACCCGCAGTGCCAGGAAAACGGTTTGTTTTCCTTGCACTCGAGTGTAACTTTAAGGTTTAATAGAAAACATACTTGCATTGTTTAGAAAGCCTGCCTGCAACTCAATGCAGACGACTCCTTCACCTTATTCCAGTCTATGTGGTCTTATTTTTTTTTAAGAGGTATATCAGCAAGAGCAATTTTGCTTGTTACATAGCATGATTGCAGGTGGTGTCTCGTTACCAAATTTGGCTTCAGCCAAAATGTACATTTCATGGACCCTCCCAAATCCAACTCCAAACATTAACATAGCTTATGAATCATATTCTGACACCAAATCTTTGAATGAATACAGTAATACTGCCATACCAGGAAATACATAAACCACCTTTCCAAACATATGCACTCAAATCCATACACCAAACCCATAAAAACAGCTTGGCAAAGCTCACACTGCTGGCCAGAAATAAAACACACCCCCCCGCCCCCAAAAAAAGTTTTAACAAATATTTTAAGAGAACAAGGTTTGAAACATATTCAGGCTTTGGCTCTAACCCGCTTTTTATTTTGTTCTAAACATTTTGAGAAAATCCAGACACAGAGAAAGGAGTGCAGAGAGATCCGTACAGATGATACATGCTGCAAGATAAGATCATCCTTTACAAAAAGGATTTTTGGCCAGTATCCATTAAAAATGGTCTACAACATAGAAACCAAGATTTCTTACAGAACAACCATGTTATTTATTAGGTAGGAAGAAATAAATATAAATTGTATTTCAATGCTTTATTTCCACGGTGCCATAAGATATTTACAAGACAGCTCCAACATCTGTCTTTTGCTCTGCTCCACTGGGCGTCATCGGCACCATAATTCATTATACATTGTCGCATGGACACAAAGATAAGTTAATGCTTAGGATCATCACAGATATTGAGCAGGAGCTAACAATGACTTGAGGTTGAAGTTATTCTTTTTTATATATTTTTCATACAGTGACTTTAACAGTGTTGCAGATATTTTATACTAACAGTAGATACCTTTGACAAAAAGGAATACAGCAAAGGGATAGGTCATATAAACACACCTGTCAATCTTCTGAAAAGCTTCTATGCCAAAGTTTGAATGACATGAGAGAAGCAGGAGAACCCTACAAGTAGGTATTTTGCTGTACCTGCGAAGATTATTCAAATTAAATTGTATTGTGCGATCTGCGGATTATAGGAACGGAGTGACTGGCAATAAACCAACAGGTCAGCAACAGGAGAGCTATGCTCTGCTTTGGAAAGTGTCCCCTACCAGGATTGATAGAAATACTGGAGGGCAGGAGGAGCTAGGGATTGAGTGTTACCAGGTCACCAGATAGATGCATGTATAATATCTCAATGACCAGTTATTGTACTAAATTACCTCCATTTGTTTAAATATACATAGGTATTAAGGAGAGAGCGCAGGTAACTTTTTTCCTTTGGTTTTTACTATATGTATTGGAGCTGATGTGTACTGTGGTCGTTGCTGCCGCCCAGGAGTGATGGGAGTGAGCGCAGGACTTTTCTATTTGTAGTTATTGTGTTTATGAATATTTATTACCATCTCTATTTTGCATTCTCTGTCAAGCCTTGCTTTGCAGCAACAGTTTAACACAAGTGAACCACAAGGACAGGACAGTGATCTAGGTTATTTGTTGACCCTGACTGTATGCTGAGTCTATCAATTTTCTTATGCTTTATAGTCCCCAATAAAACTGTAATGCACTGCAAAATCTGTTGGCACTGTATACATGCAAATACTGCGCTTTGCAAAATCTGCTCATGGCATCACTGAGTTTAGTTATGGAGCTCTGTAATGTACTTATACACACATTAGTATTCAATTTATTGATACAGAACTTCAAGATTGATTTGTAGTTGTAGCATACTCTTTTCTAATCCGGAAAATGCTTCACCATTCAAGAGCCTCTTATTCTGGTCTGTGATGGAGGGGATGTATCAAGAATTTTCCACACTTAAAATTCTCCAGTTTTCAGTAATGATGAGTTTCAGAGTGAATTACAAATTTAAGGCTAAACTAACCAAACTGAAAATAGAATTAACTTGGAGAATTCTTCTAGTTTGGCCAAAATAGGATACATTCCGAAAAATCTGAACCAGAAAATGTTGGGTAACCCTTTTCATGAAATAGAGCTAAAATAATAGTGAAAAAGAAATAACGTGACAACCAGAGGTAATCTTAATAGATTAAAATGGTAGAAGACATAACCCTCTCAACACCTCTATAAGTATTAGGGGAGATCCTTTATTAATCACTAGGGTCCACTAAATTTCTAAATTGGGATAGAGCTATAATGCCAAAGATCCAAATTAAATATAAAGGATTAGTTACTAATGTAGAGACATATAGCTGGAGTGAAATACTGTAGCCAAAAAACCACCCCAAACAGTTAGAGGTTGATAGGTTATACTGTAACAAGAAGGTGTATCAAATAATGTAGACAAAACACCCCTTCCAACCTTTAGATCTAACTCTGTTACCGTAAGGGTAAATAAAACCTATATTCCTACTGCCAATATTGCTTGGTAGCTGAGGGAGGGCAGTAGGAATATAGGTTTAGGAGTTAATCTATTTTACCTATTAGTATTCTCTACCCCATCAGCAATAGGAAGAGTGTGCTAGATTCAGTTATCTATTCAGCTGTTGTGAGATATATTTATTAAGATTTTTTTCCTGATGGATATATACCCTATAGTTAACCTCTATGACTTGATTATCAGGTTATACATTTGAACTGATTATTTATAGTGCTCATTTTACGTTATTGACTATTAGGGTTTCTCAGCTGGATACTCTTTTTTTGTAACATTGAGCCACCCTTAGGGTAACAGAGTTAGATCTAAAGGTTGGAAGGGGTGTTTTGACTACATTATTTTATACACCTTCTTGTTACAGTAGAACCTATCAACCTCTAACTGTTTGGGTGGTTTTTTGGTTATAGTATTTCACTCTACATTAGTAACTAATGCTTTATATTTAATTTGGATCTTTGGCATTATAGCTCTATCCCAGTTTAGAAATTTAGTGGACATACCCTCACTATTAACCCTAGTGATTAATAAAGGCTCTTCCCTAATACTTATAGAGGTGTTGAGAGGGTTATGTCTTCTACCATTTTAATCTATTAAGATTGCTTCTGGTTGTCACATTTGTTATTTATTTTTCACTATTATTTTAGCTCTATTTCATGAAAAGGGTTACCCGACATTTTCTGGTTCCGATTTTTCGGAATATATCCTATATTTAAATTAGGGTTAGGCCCTTATCGGTTGAGTACTCCTCGTGAGACATTTTCCTTTCCTTTCTTATTTTTCCAAAATGTTGAAAATCCTGATAATATGCATTGCTATCTGGAAAATCACTTATTATTGAAAATATATATCGATAAAGAGAACCGTCTCCCATAATCGTAAGAAAAATTAACTTTTGTATTTTCTTAATTTCACAAACAATACTAAGTCAGCCGCCTTGAATGATCCTTTACAAATGATCAATGTGGCAGAAATGTATATCATGGTGGATAGACCCACTATCAGGCTTTTATGTAAATGAGACAAAAGGAAAAAAAAAAATACTTGCACTATAGCACTATCCACTTGTCCGCCCCCCCACCCCCCCTTTCAAACAGGAAGAAAATAATGTACTACTACTCTCTGCTTCACATTTTCTATGATACAGTGCAAGATGCACTGACATGCTGGCTGCTTCTTGTTCAAGGTAAAAAAAAAATAATAAAGACACTTAATGGTACGGGATGTAGCCACCATGTTCATGTTTTGCTGTTACAGGACAAAGACTGGATGAAAGATCTCATTCAGCAATAATTCTGTTACATATTAGCCTTTTTTTTTTTTTTAAACTGCATCGTCTTCATATATTCAAAATAAAAAAAACTCCAAAATCGGGATGTTTTAAAAAGTGTTTTTTTTTGTTTTTTTTGTATTTCTATGATTTTTTTTTCTGTATAATTATACAACAGTTCAAAATGACAAGTTTGCATAATCTAATTCTATTAACAGCCATTCAAAAAATTGAACTACTTTTTCCATCAATTGCCATCTGGAGCGTTAACGGAGAGAAGAAAAAAATATGGGAAAAAATAGTTATTAACTCTTTCTCTGTTAGATGGGAGCGCAAGGCATTGCTTCACAATGTGGTGCAGACCTACAAGGCAGTGAAAAGAGTTACTCAAGGGTGGAAAATAAGGGAGGCAAAGAAGGGGGGGCTTGGGTGAAAGCACATATCACCAGGGGCGGGAGGGGGGTTGTTTATGGCAGTTAATCTGGCAAAGGTGTGGCTGGGATGAAAAAACAAAAGCCAAAAACAAAAAAGTAAAAATGGGACAACATTTTGTACGAGCGAGCGGGGAAAAGAGTGGGTATTATTCAGAACTACTGTGTCTCTTGCAGCATCAAATCCCCTTTGCGCTTCAACATGCTCCCGCTTCCCAAAGGGAAAAAAACAAAAACAAAGAGAAAGAAAAAGGCTTCCGCCATCTATGTGTCGTGAAAGTCTTTAAGCAATGTTCTTCGGCGCTGCTCGGCTATATGCATCTGATTCTCCAGGTCCTAATGGTTGGAAATAAACATTAATACATTTGTGATTAGTGATTGCAGAAACATTACAGGGGATATTCAAAGGTGTTCTTTCAACATTTAAAATGGTGGCCAACAGCAACGAGGTTGCCTATGTCTACCAAAAGATGTAGCGTGCAGGAGATTGGCAACGGATTGCTAATAGACTGAGAGCATCAGAAGTTGACTATCTATCTGTGTCAAGAGCTGGACGGTGCAAGTGTTTTCCTATTCCTGCCAACAGTTTAAATGTGCAAGTGGATGCCCATCTCTGCCAATACAGATAATATGAGATAAATTCCTGCAAAGGGCAACCTGACAATGAAAAGAACGTGCAATTGTTTGCTTATCCTGAAAAACAGTGTTAGCTAAACTATTACATTGGTCTTTAAATTGCATTTTTAAAATAATTTATTAAAACCACCTTTTTACTTGTGCTGGACTTTCTTAAAATGTGTTTTGTTTTCTAAAGTACATTAAATGCACGGTAATCCAGTCAACATTTGAATTTTTATCTAAATAACAATTTGACGTGAACGGTCTCATTTTATGCAGGTAGTGTGACACCAAAATTCACACTGTACAATGGGTGCTACACAGAGGCATATACTGCACCTTTATTATTGTGGAGCACTAAACATACAATTGCATGTGCAGAGCTAAATGCCATGAATACATTACAGCCAGGCTGTGGTAATGAATGAAGGTAGTTAATGGCAAAAGCTGCAAATCCTGCTGCGGCTTTGTATATTTCATGGAAAAGGTTAGAGAGTTGAGGCTGGAGTGATTCTATAATCAATTGCTTCAAAAACAAATCTGAAAATTGGCCTTCGAAAAAAGAATTTAAAAGACACTGGTACCAAACAAAGCAATCTATAGTCTATTTAGAAATATTTTCGAAAGTTATAGCAGTGAAAAAGCTCAGTAGACAGAGCTCCAACAGCTCAGAGGCATACGTTTGATTTCTGGTAATGTCAGCTCAGGCTTTTATCCTTCTGAAGTCAACACAATTAAGGTGATTAGACTGGGTGATCGTAATACCCCAATTCACTGCTCGAAACTAGAGACAGGCTAAGTTAACCTATTTACTTAGATATTACATGATTGAAACCAGTAAACTTGCATAGCAAAACAAAATGTGCTTGTTGTGGTAAATTACAACACTCACCCCTCTGTCATAGCTGTCTGCCCGCTCCACCTTCCAAGAAAGGTTCTCTATTTCTGCCTCTAGCTGGGCCTGCTGATACTCAAACTAGAAATATAAAACAAATAAATGTACATTAATGCATTACGTGCAAAGCATTTTACATGTTTGGCCTATATATATATATATATATATATAAAAAAAAAAACTATATGGGCTATGATGTATTGTGATGTAATTTAACCCCTTCAGGACATAGTCAATAGTACACATTCTGATCAAAACAAAATGTAAACACAAACTGGCATTTGCGCTATATGTCTGTTCTACCGTAATTCACCTCTTTCACCCACACTTATTATATATCAGTTTGTTCAGGAGAAACAGTACTTTAATTATCATTAACTATTCATATATGAAATATAACTTATTATGGTTAAAATGTAAAAAAATTAGAAATTAAGATTAAAAAAAAAAAATTGGAGTTCCGCCTGACATTTTAGCTGTAAATGTCATAATACTATTCACTTTTAATGCAATAAAATGCACATATTTGTATTCAGCAAAGTCTCACGACTACAAAAGTTCCCCCCATTAACAGATTTTACAGTGTTTTGGAAAGTTGCAGGGTCAAATATAGCACATTCCATTTTTTTCACATTAAAATTTGCCAGATAAGTAATGTTACCTTTGAGACCGTATGGTAACCCAGGAATGAGAATTACCCCCATGATGGCATACCATTTGCCAAAGTACACAACCCAAGGTATTGCAAGTGGGGTATGTCCAGTCTATTTTAGTCGCCACTTGGTCACAAACACTGGCCAATGTTAGCGTCCATATTTGTATTTGTGTGAAAAAAGCAAAAAAATATTTGGCCAGTGGCTACTAAAAATGACTGGACAGCGGGCGGAGCCTAAAGCTTGAACGGAATGGGTGCAACACACAGAAGCTCCTGATCAGGAGAACAAAAGCCGAAAAATATCCGACCCTAAACCACACCATCGAAAGCCGTAAATACCCAACTCGATACCTCTGAGGGTGAGCCACACGCAGATGCCGTTCCTATTCCCGCAATCCAGCAGGAAAACCAGACGGAGGACTGGGGCCTACCTAGAGACCCCACCAAACGAGCAATGCTGGAAATACCAGAGTGGCCGGAAACATACATATACTCCCCTACACACCAGACCGCGAACCCCCCGCGGGGCGCGGACACCATGGGCAAACCCAAAAGCAACCCTTAAGCGCAAGCAAAGACACCCAGGATATAGGGGCCATGCTACAGCGCCCCACCACCGCAAAGATGGCGACCGAGCCGGACCAACATGGAGGCTCAGGGGGCCATTAGGGATCCACAGAGAGGTCCACACTCACCCCACACCAAACAGACCCAGTACAGGGACCTTATCTGACCCCAGCTACAAGGCAAGACATTTCAGACTTACTGCAAGAAATGAGACAGCTGCACGCAGCAAACTTGGACTTGCTTAAAACTGAAATTATGGCGGTCACGGCACGCACACAAGCCTCCGAGAAGGACATCTTGGATTTAAGGCAAGAGGTACAAGGCCTAAAATAATCCTTACACCAACTGCAGACCTCACAGGCCACTCTAACAACCAGAGTGGACCAGTTAGAGCAGTGTTTCCCAACCCAGTCCTCAAGGCACACCTACCAGTCCAGGATTTAGGGATTACCCAGTTGTGTCTAAGGTGTTTTTTTTCTTCTTTGTAAAAACACCTTAGACACAACTGGGTAATCCCTAAATCCTGGACTGGTAGGTGTGCCTTGAGGACTGGGTTGGGAAACACTGAGGTAGAGGACCGCCACAGGCGCGTAAATATAAAGATCCGGGGAATACCCGACTCATTGGGCCTAACAGAATTACCCCACTACCTTAGACGCCTTACCGCTTCTCTCATGACGCACGCCCAGGCAAAAAAAACCTCACCTTTGAGGGCTTCTTCCGCATGCCAAAACCGAGGCAAGCACCACGTATTTTTATGTATTAATTCAGTTAAACTGGTTGTGAAGTTGGTTACCTAATGAAGGCGTGTATAACTGTTAATCCTAATGTCAAGCCTCGCAAGATGTCACTGTCCGATGCCACTTGACCAACGACAAGATCCAACTAATGACCGCGGTGCGAGGCAAGACCCCGCTCAACTTCGAAGCCGCACAACTCACCTTCTACCAGGACATTACCCGCAGCACGTTGCTTTGGCGCCGATCAATGGGGCCAGCGACCAGCCAGCTACGCACCGCGGGCATCGAGTACCGGTGGGCACTACCGCGCACCCTGTTGGCCACCAGAGAGGGGAGCACGGAAAGGCTGTCCACACCGGAAGATGCAGACTCATATCTCCGAACCCTGGGGATCCTCGCGACAGAAGTGATGTCGGCAAATACACCAAGCTCACAAACCTGGGACCCGGAGAGAACTGTGCCCTTTATCCCTGGAGGGAGCAAACACCCAATAGCCCCGACCTGAAGGAACTAAGCAAACCCAAAAGAAGTTATGCCACACTGTTCAGTCAAGACTTTAGCTAAGCTTGTCGTTTTAAGTCTTTTGTTTTCATATGTTACACTTTACTAATGCACACAGGTTCCCACAAACAAACTATACACACCCTACAGGCACCATTCTCCCTGACCACCATCGAAACCCTAGACAGTTATCCGGTATTCATGCCGCACTCTTAGAAGGCCTTCCACAATTCATCAAGACGCACTCCGCACCCACTAAACACTCACCAAGATTCGCGGAGACACCACCTCCCCCCCCTCCAAGTTTAGGGGACCAACACACAAGATACGACACACCGGAGCAGACCTACTAGAACCCATGTAGGGCCTCAACTACCTGCACAAGATAGCCCCGAACTCCGACTACACAGACTTACATAGCTGACGCATGTCAACACACTCATGCCAACGCATGAGGGTACTGTACCAACCCTTGAGGTGCACCTCAACCACCCACTACTGGACACAGTCCAGGGATAGGGCTTTAGCTTAGGCACCCTACGCACTCGACACCCAATACCGAGCACACCTCCTTAACAGACAGTACCACGATAGATTTACAGTACCTACCCGGATAACAGACTACCACATTTCACTCTTTGCCAACGTGAAGTGACCAACAGGTTTAGATAGACCCCTGACCCACAAACGGCTTGCACACGCCTTCATTAGGTAACCAACTTCACAACCAGTTTAACTGAATTAATACATAAAAATACGTGCTTTGAAAGTAACTACTTTTAACATATATATGCAAACTACCACTACCTTTATGTTTTTCGAGAATATAACTGTTAATCCTAATGTCAAATATTGTAAAATAAAGAATTTCAAAAACAAAAATTAAAAATGACTGGACATACCCCATTTGCAATACCTTGGGTTGTCTACTTTTGTAAATGGTGTGCCATCATGGGGGTAATTCTCATTCCTGGAGTCCATACGGACTCAAAGGCAACATTACCAAACTGGAAAATTTCAACGTGAAAAAAAATAAAAAAGAAATGCAAGCCTTATATTTGACTCTCTAACTTTCCAAAACACCATAAAACCTGTACATGGGATACTTCACTGAACACAAACATAAGTGTTTCAAAACAGTAAAACATTACAACAATATCATCAGTAAAAGTGCTATTCGTGTGTGAAAAATGCAAAAAACTTCACTTTTACTGAAAATTAGCATAGTTGTAATACAATTTATCATTTTGAAACACTAATATTTGTTTCAGCGAAGCCTCCAGAGTAAAACAGTACCCCCCATGTACAGGTTTTATGGTGTCTTGGAAAGTTACAGGGTTAAATATAGTGCTTGCGAATTAAATTCTCTGCACTTTCTGCCTGGGTTGTCAGGCACGTCAATCAAATTTTAATTAATTAAATCACATAATTATGATAAAAGATTAAATATACAAGTAGAATTTTAATATATATAGATATGTATTTAAATTCTACGTCTATACGTATGCAATAATTTAAGTAAATATATATATATATATATATATTTATTTGCGGTTATTTGTATTTTATATATAGATAGATATATAGAATGTCATTCTAAGTGTATTTTGTTACACATTTATATATATATATATATAACAAAATACAGTATGAATGAAATTACATATGTATATGTAATTTAATTTTTTCAAAATATTTATTTTAAATAATACGTATATATATATTATATATAATATATATATATAACTTCATTCTAAGTGTCTTAATACTAATATATACTCATATTAATATTAAAATACACTACGTATGACGTTACATATACAATATGTGTGTGTGTGTGTGTGTGTGTGTGTGTGTGTGTGTATATATATATATATATTATTATATACATTTAATTTATTTTAAACATGTTTAATAATTTTATTTTTTTTACACTACCCACCAGCAGGGGGACTGTCTGACAGTCCAGACCGTCTCCCTGCTGGCAGATCCACAACCAGCTATAGGGGGCCATGTGATCGTATGGCTCCCGAACGCCTGATTTACCGGGGGCATAGACCGCCGTAACGGCGTTAAAAGGTTAAAGTAACTAGAAGGCTGCAAGAAATTCAAAGAGAATTTCCAAATAGAAATCCTAGCACAGAGTTCTAACTGTAGCAATAATCATGAATCCATTGATTTCCATAGCAACTGCTCCACTTTCAAAACTCTGAAAGACAAATGTTTCTGCCATTATAAGGTAATGGAGAAGAAAATCTTTTTTTGTAATCCTGGCTGTAAAGATTACTTTCTGAAAATAGTCCAGCTGCAGACAATGAGTATTTAGCAATATGAACAGTTTGGAGTTGCTGGTGCAATCACGATGGAATGCTGCTGCTGAATAATGCACTGGAATTGCCCCTTGATGCTTCGGTTCATGTAGTGTGTATGTTTTTGCCGCATAGGAAACCACTGTATACACATGACTTGGAACAGGAACTTTTACACTGCCGATTTTGTGATTTTAAATAGCTGCCTTTTGCTTTATAAATATAAAACAAACCAAGAAAAAGGGGATATGTCTACTTACCAGCTTTTTCCGGGGGCCAGACTCCATGTAGTAAGCATAGGGATATGTGTACTGCAGTGTGTACCTACACTGGAATTACAAGAGCCAGAAAGAGTATTAATGCACATTTTGTATTTCTTAGCTCTATAGCATAGATGACTAACCATAAACTACAGAGGATTGTGAGAAACATTTTCCAGTCTTTAGGCTGGTTGAACATCATGGGAAATGTTGCGGCTAAACATCTTCAGACTCCCAAAAAAATCATGGGGAAGGAAGTTCATGAAACATGAAATAACGTAAACCATGACTGCTCTTTGGTCAGAAGTTTGGTTCACTTCAATTTCAAATTGTCAGTGGCACTGTGCAATGGGGTGTAAGAGCTACCACTAAACGTATGAGGATCGCCAGCCAACCTTAACACTGTTCCTTAACCCCTCATGGCATACTCTAAGCACTAACTAAACTTTTGGCAAGCAATTAGGTAAGTAATAAAAGGAATAAGTACCATAGTTATACATGTGGAAAGGTAAAATAGTAGCAATGCCTACTTATCTTTTGTGTAGTTAACAGAATTGATCACATTTTATGGGTTCAGTGTGTCACCTGAAAAGCCCAGTTTTGACTATTCACTTACCTTTGCAAGCAGCTTAGCAGCATTCTGCAGGTACTGCCAATCTATCCATGTGCCAAGGTTGTTCATTACTCTCTCCTGGATCTTCTCCTGAATCTGCTGATAAGTCTGGGCCTCAAGCTGCAGACTTTTATTATGGTTTTCCCACTAGAAAAGAGAAAAAGGTGGTACAAATGCTCAGATCACAACTCAAGCGTATCGGGGAAACTCAAACATTCACAGGAAAGGCATGGCCCTGCAGTGCTCTAAAGATGGGATGGGACAGACACTTCGTAGATGTAACAGAGAAATGCCAACACAAATATACTTGGTGTAGGCACTGGACTAGGTTTGGAGAGAATATGGAGTACAGAAATACTTTACTATACTAGATTCACAAAGTAACAAGCTACAGGAGTACGTGGGACTAGATTCTTTGGAGCCTGAGCACAATAAGACTTCATGTGCACATCTACAACATGCAGAAATAGAGGAATTCATGGCTTAGTCTATAGGCTAGAACTAAATAACAAGAGCATAGGAATGTGTGGGATTGACTAATGGCTAGTTACATGTAACAAAGCGAGAATCAAAGTAGAAATACATGGACACTTGATAATGTATTATTTATTTGTATAGGGATTTAGGTTAGTGCAAAGGCAACGTTTATTTACATGTGAACTGATGAATACTCCAGGCCACCCAAGAGCAGGTTTTTGCCACCACAGAGTTTTTATTTGCTTTTGTATTACGCAGCCACATTACATTACCGTTGACCACACCATGTGTGCCATATTAAGGGTTCATTAGTGCTAAGGGATTTATAACAATACATCCTTCAGTCTCAGAAATTTTGCCTTTTAGCTAAAAGTGGCAAGGTTAATTGTTAGTGTAGGACACACCCAAGTTGTCTTGACATGGCAGGTGAGCTTACACTTTAATGGCCAATGGTACTAAAACCTCCTGTTATTTAAAGTGCAGAGGGACATAGGAGACTGCATAGGTAATGTTTTTGTTTGTATAATTGGGCTGATGCATAAAGGGCTTATCTCGGTGTGCTTTGTCTCCTAATATATGGATTAATAAATAAAGAAAGCAAAAAATTAAAGGAACCAGAAGCCTGCAATATAGATTCAGACTGCAAATTCCTTAAGCTAGAGGGCTATGAACCCTCAGTGCTAAATCACCCTTTTTTATTCTAAACTATTTTTTGTGCACTATTTGCGTATATTGTAAAGAATATTAGGGATGGTTTGTTATGATGGGAGTTGCCCCCAAGAACTATTTGAGCCGACTGACCAAAAGAGCGGTACGATTAGCAGCTGTAGCCTACTGCTGTGTATTTTTTAGGAGCTGTCTCACCCTCTCAAAGTAGAACAAGTATTTTTTAAGAGCCTCTCTTGCTTGTGCCTGCTGACTCTGATTTACAATGTCTGGATTCTCTTTGTATCTGCTGCACTCGTAATACTCGCTGCCGTGAGTCTTCCAGTCGCCGAGGCACATCCAGCAGAAATCTGTGAACAAACAAGTAGTCTGAGAAGAGAGTACAGAGTTCACAAAAAGAAAGGTCAGGAACCTTTTTGCTAGGACATGCTTATATTGTTTTTGCCTGGTATTATAAAATATGATCTAAAAGTTTATGTTATGGTCTGGCTAGTCTACAGTTTATCCAATCATTGTGGTCCTGAAGTGGTTTCTCCATGAAAGCAAAGTTTGAGAAAGATATCCTATTCCTCCTTTATAAATATATGTTCATATGATATTACATACACTTACATTTTATGATTAAATGTTTCCCTTTGCATAACTATAGCAGCACAAAAGTTAAATAAGAAAAAGGTATGGATACCTAAAATTAAAGTTACCTTAGGTTAAAAAGGGAATACGGACCTTTTAAATCTGTGATTTTTATGAGGGCAGATGCCCTCTGGTGTTTAAAGAAATTATTTGTTCAAACACTCCCTTAAAAAATACTTTTTGGGGAATATATAATTTCTAACAAATAAAAAGGGAACCACAGACAAAACATATGTTAGCACTCCCACTGGCCATCCCCGCACACTTTTTCTCTACACTGAGATCGGCTACTATACGCTATGTTTGAAAAGGGGAGTGACAGAGGCTTCGACACGATCTGCTCTGCCTACCGAGACACCGGGGTGGACTGGCACTGCCGGACTTTAGACGGTATCACTAAGCTACAGTTCTTCAGCGTATTCTGGAGTGGCATGCAAATACACACGGGAAACAATGGGTAGCTCTAACCAGAGACAGACAAGAAGCTCATCTAAAGTCCAACATATGGACAGGGGGTCCTAAAGCCGGTGAGAGAGGAGAGTCGGCCGGGATTATAGCCCAGACACTTGTTAGCTGGACACTTATGAGGGACCAACCCCATATTTCACCTATACCCAGTCCGCTGCTCCCCATTACCCACAATCCAGCAATAGGAGGGGCATTCCCGTCGAAAGCATGGCCCTTTGCGGAGGGTCGCGAACATATACCCATCTCTACGGTTCTGCGAGATCGCACCATACGGTCTCTTGATTCCTTGCTGGGAGAGACACTTCGGACTCCCCTGATAACACTACGCTACATGCAGGTAAAGCACTATTACGACACCGTGCGCAATAAAGAACGACTCCACAGGGACCTCACTTGGTTCGAGACGAGATGCGAGAGAGGATCATCATTGGAAAAAACTAGATCCACCCTCTACCAACATCTTTTAGTGGGTAACCTGGCAGAGAATGATACTTTCTGCAGGCAGTGGGAGGCGCTGATGGATACCACATTCACCCCCCAACAATGGGAGGGTGCACTACTCTGGCAACACAAAAGCTCCATTAGCACACATTATCAAGAAACGAATTACAAACTAATCGCGCTATGGTACAGGACCCCGACACTGCTCCACAGGATCTTCCCAACAACGCCACCGACATGCTAGAGATGCCTAGAAGAGAGGGGTACGACAATACATATATGGTGGGAATGCCGCCTTATAGTCCCTTATTGGGAGATGATCAGGGAGAAAATAACCGAAATTATGGGAGAAACAACAGAATGGACGGCAGCATTGCCCCTTCTACATATTTCAACGATGTCGATTGCCACATACAAAAGAAATAAATAAAAAATTAAATCTTACGTCATTTACTTAATGCAGCCAAAACCTTGATCCCACTATACCGGAAAAGGATGGAGACGCCCCGAATGGAGGAATGGAATCGCAAGGTGGAGGACATTCAGGGAGTGGAGGCGATTCAAGCATCACTACTTGGGAGAGGGGACAGGCACGCAGAGATGTGGTAACCATGGTTCGCGTTTGTGTCTCGGGGCAGATAGAGGGGGGCGGCTCAATGGAGCATGACCATTCCTACCTGCTTTACCCGATTCTACCTAACCTACACTCAGGACCAGGGGCAACTCTTCTTCTCTTACTACTAGATCTTTTCTGATTTTCACATGCAATTTTAACATATACACACGTATATATGGACAGGACAAACATGCACTACAATGAGGGGCCTGCTTTGTAACAGAGAACAGTCAGGACGATCATAGAAAGCAAGCACTGTAATCACCTCATCCACGCCTATCATGGCCCTATAGTTATACACAATGAAGTCAGGTGGAGAAGGATAGTTTTGTATTAAGTAATGTGCCGATCGTAACTGTGCATTTGTGCGATGTATTTAGGCTCAGCAGACCTGGTTATACACCGTTAGAATGACCATTAAAACTTCCTATGTAAATGACAACGTTAGATTATGTGCCTTTTGGACCTGCGTGCCCACAATGTTACAAATATTTGTAATTGTTATTAACTGCTGACTATTACACAAAATTACCAATAAAAAAAGATTTAAAAAAACAAAACAAAAAAAAAAACATGTTAGCTCTATATAAAATGCTTATGAAGTAATCCATATTTTCAACAGGATAGGTAACTGGGACACTGGAAACAAATATTATGTGCAGTAGGCCTTAATCAGGATTATGATTATATAGGGCTCGCCAGGGATCAACAGCCCAACCCTTACGCTGCCATTCAGCTAATGTAAGAGTGAACGTCTGTGTTAGCACACACAATTTTGAGCAGCGTTAAAAAGCTGAGAAGTCCTGGGATAACCTGGTTACAACACTCTCAGTCAATGATTGCGGATTAATTGTTGGGCTAAAGCAGAAGGTCAGTTGCACATTAGTTTAGCAGCAGTATCAACAGTTAATGCAAGGAATAATTATAATACTGCTTATACTTCAGTTTGATAGTAAAATGCAAAAAAACCACAATCGTTTTATTTACGTAATTGAACCTTTATTGTGTCCGGACAAGACCTGCAATATAGTGATGAAATGTTGCTACTCGTGAGGATTAAAGAAAAAAAATAAGTGGCTGGTTTTTGTGATAGAAATTGAGGGATTAGTGCACATTTTGTATAGAACAGACTGTGCGGTGTGTGCCGGTTCACTTTTGCATATTTGTTTAAAACCCCAGAGAATTAGTCAAGGCAGCTTAAGGGGCAGAAACAAGCATAAGACCTATGCACTAGTGGAGTGAGCAAATTTACTTACCATGCTTGCATTTTGAGCATTGCTGCAAAGAGAAAAAGAATAAAAGATTTAATTGCATCATAACTATGAAAACAGAAAATTCCTGTATGCACAAGTTTTAGTATCTTAATTTCCACTTCAAATATATCATTACATTTCACTAACAGGACCTAAACAGGGAGTTTGTGAATGTTGTGTATAATGTCCTTAAAGCAAAACTGTATCTCTTCTTAAGCACTTGTTGGGCTTTTAGACACCTTGAACCTACACCAGTTCCATTTGACAATTAAGGTTTAGAAAAGGTTAGCAAAAAAGGCTATCCAAAGGCTGCAAAATAATTACAAGGAATTCATATAAATTAAAGAATATTCTTTCCAAAACAATTGATTTAAACCAGACAGTAATTTTCATAATAAATAGTTTAAAATATATCACTTGAAACCAATATTCTGTACAAAACATTCTACTTGTTTCTGAATTTACATATGCAATTTGCAAGGCTGGTGAGTTAATACACCCACTACATAACGTTTGTCAACAAACCTTGAGGGATTGTTACCTGGATACGTTAATCTTTATATAGTTTATTTTAAAGATTTTTAACTATAGTACTGTGACAGATTGATATTATAAGTTGTGCAAATATATTGATGTAGTGTGTCTCAAACACATCCTTTTACAATCGTCTCAAGTATATTTATGTAACAAGTGGATAGCCTTCTCTGTGTTGTGATGGCTACTTTGAATATGCATTTTGTATCCTGAATAAAAAAAAAAATAATTTAGAAAAAAAAAAATGTTAACGCAGTCTTCTTCAAAAGGGTTGAATCTGGATTTATGAATCTTTACATATTTGTGTACATAAATATTGAAAAACAAAACCAAAATAAAAAACACCAGAAGTGTAAAAATCCAGGTAGATGACTATGCAGAATTTCACTTTTTTTTTTTTTAAATTGTTGCAGTATGCCAAACAAATAAATTTGCCATAGATACAAAATACACAAGCACCTTCAATACACACTCTTTAAAATATGGCTGTACATATCCTTAAATGCTCTCCTTTACAGGCTTATGTTATACGTAGACTTTGGTAGACAAGGGGTAGAATTCAGTCAGGAGCAGCACTTACCCTTAAAAAGACACAACTAAACATCTCTTGTTTGGCACAAACCACAGGGCTCTAATAGTCCTCCAGGAATGTGGCCATGCCTAGGAGGCTGCACTAAAAACAGGGTTATTCACTAAATTCAGAATTTTTGCAAATTACATCTGAATAAAAAAAAAAAAAAGAAAACCGGCAAAAATAGCTGATTTGCTCTTTTTTTAAAAATTCTTTATTTTTGACGTGCAGCGATACAGCATGGGTAAAGTGCAATTTCTAGATCTGAAGTTACAAAGGCTTATGTCCAACAACCGGTACGGGGGGCATGTTTTTTTTTTTTTTTTTTTAAAGTTGTAACATTAAAATTTTAACAAAAAGTTATTCATTGCATGAACATCGCCATATAACGAAAGATTGGGTCAGGGTGTATGCAATAGATGCTTAGACGGGCCTTCGTAGGTACAAACATGCTTGTGACAGGTATACTATTAGGTATAGTGCTGTAAACATCATAACAAAAGTTACTCAGTGCCTAGACATCGTTCTCCAACGTGTGAGTGGGTCAGGGTATATGCAGTGGCTGTCTGGGCAGGATATCTTGGTTATATACCGGCTTGGTACGATTATACTATTGGGTTGTAGTTCTACTTTTTACCATCTCTGGTAATAGAGCGTTGAGATGCCCTTCCATCCCTGGTAAGAGGGGAGACAAGGAAACCACCCAGCGAGGCGTCAGGCCCTGAAATATGGGTAGTGCGGGACTCGGGAGGTCAACCCATGCGCACATGTAGCCGGCTCTGTTATGTGGCGCTGTTCGTACTTTGTTAGATACAACCTAAGAGTGTTGTCGGTAGGTATTAGGCGTGATATATCATTTGTTCAGGCCATGATTTTCTAAATTTCTCTATCACAGCTATAGTCACAAAAATGTAAGTTTCCTAAATAACTCTGTAATAAGACTTGTTCACTATGGATTTTAGCCAATTGTTTTATCTACAAGATCAGCTGAGCTGGAGACGGATGGATTTAAAAGATTTCACATTACTCACCATGTGATTGCATCCTCCGTTTTTTTCAATACAAATATTGCACTTGGGACACTGAGGAAAACAAAACGACAAGTTACATGCTAATCATAATTAAAACAGCTCAACGTTAATCCGACTGCTGGATCCTTTGTATGAGGGATGCATTCTCTCTCATACACAATGCAATCACCAGAGCTTCATTGGGAAACGTGATAAAGGGATCCTATAGTGCCAGGAAAACACACAGTTTTCCTATAGTGCCAGGAAAACACACCTGTTTTCCTGACACTATAGGCTCCTGGAGTGCCCCCCTCCCTCGGCGCTGAAGGGGTTAAAACCCCTTCAGGCACTTACCTTAATACAGCGCCGGGCTCTCTCGGCGCTGGTGACCTCTCCTCCCCCACCGAGGTCAGCTCCCGAGTGGAGCCGAATGTGCATGCGTGGCCATAGGCGCGCGCGCTCATTCAAACCTGCCCATAGCACTACTCAATGCTTTACTAAGAGGATCTTATTTGACGCTGGACTCTGTGAGGACGTCCAGCGTCAAATAAGTGTGATTTACACCGTGTAAATCGCGGAAGTACCTCTAGTGGCTGTCAGGGAGACAGCCGCTAGAGGCTGGATTAACCCTGCAGTGTAAACATAGCAATTTCTCTGAAACTGCTATGTTTTTAGCTGCAGGGTAAAAACTAGGGGGACCTGGTACCCAAACCACTTCATTGTGCCTTTTGTGGTGTTCTAAAAGATGAAGTAAAGTCGTAAAAGTTGGGCAATCACCACAGAAGTCACATTTCACAGGTGACTGCCTCCCTTGTACATCTTTGCACAACTTTAGAACATCACACCATGTGGCCTCCTAATTATACTGTAGCAAATAAATAAATATGCTTAACTTCTAGCCTGTGTTTGTATTGTGTGTCTGTAAAACGTACAAATCCTGCAAACAGCTTTTGAAAAATGACCAAGACAGAGGGCAGAGAATTCAATAAAACCACCTTGGTAAGTGTACATATGGAGTAGATATCAATCCAGGTCTTTTTTTTTACACATTCATACCCGTAATCCATGGGAAAACAAGTCTGCTGACTTATCTGATGTGTATATGGCTTAACAATGTTTTAATGATCTTATTGCATTTACAGGGGAGGCCTTTCTCTTACTCTTCCATAACTGCAATTTTATTAATACAATAATGCACATGCAAGTAAGAAATGCATCCCATTTAACACATTTTAGAAACTCTCTAATATGAAGCAAACTGGAGAGGAAAGGATTATGATAAGCTATGGTACACTCCAGCTATTCCAAATTTTACCGGGCTGATGTGCAGATGCACTTGTGGAACAGGATTATTCAATTAGTTAAAGTGGGATCGCTAAAGGAAAAATATATATTTTACATTATGTTGTAGCCTATATTAATATATTCTATAATGCATAGCTGTAACTGTCATTCAGTGTAAAATATATTGTATGTTTTGTAGATGGTTAATTTTCCACTCTCCAGTGTGAGCTGCTGTGTTATCCATGTAAAAGAAAATGTGTGCATAAACAGACTATGCCTAGTTAAATCTAATTTATTAAAAAATTATATCTAAAAAAACCTTAATCCACTGTTTGCTCTCTTTCGTGTACATGGGTAAAGTATTATACCCTCTGCCCATCCTTACATCTTTAGTGTGAGCACTGATGTAGTTTGCAGTTTCTGAGTCATCTGCACACTTTGTCAGCCACTTCCGGATGGTGGCACAGTCTGTGGGAGCATGATACATCTGACGGCACCGGAAGCTACAAGGAGGATACCAAAAAAAAAAAAAAAAAAACATCAAGGAGGAAATTTAGGGAATTGAATTAACACAAAGGGAGAACTCTGCAGCAAAGTCCATTCATTTCCGTTTGTTCCGGAATCCTGACTTTCAGTGATCTATCAATACACGGATTTTATGGCACATAAACAGAACAAACACTGCTTCAATATTAGCAGTTTTTCATGGTAATAGATTGGCACAATTAGCAATGTAAGTTAAACATGTAGTTTTTGTGGGAACTACAATTGAATTTATTTTCAAAGAGTAAAAAAAAAATAAAATAAAAAATAATCTTTGTTCAAATGTAGTGCGTATTAATTCTGCTGGTTCCAATGAGGATTCCAATGTAGGGAGTAAAAATGTAAGAGCATTGTTTTGCTTTCGTCAAAGGATGTAAAAATGAAAGAGCATTGCTTTGCCAAAAGAGTAATGAAAAAAAAAAGAGTCTGTTTAACATGCAATAACATGTTCAAAGCTTACAGTATATATACCTTTTGTGTTAAATATGTAGTAAATCAAATGCAATCTACAAATTGTCCTAACAAATGCATAGATTAAATGTTATTCCAGTTTTATTTATTTGGCATACTTAGTCTTAGTCTTTTGACATACATATTTTTCCTACTCCATTTTGATTAAAGGGACACTGTATGCACCCAGACCACTTCAGCTCATTTTACGCTATGCATAAGGACTTCCAGAGCCACCGGAATCCCCATAGGAAAGTATTGCATGCGCATCAGGTCTCCCCTGTCGGCTGACAACGGGGGAGGAGCCTGACCCAGCACCAAGGCACATCGGCGCTGGATTCAGGTAAGTGACTGAAGGAGTTTTAACCCCTTCAGCGACATGGGATGGGGGACACCACAGGATTCTACAGTGCCAGGAAAACGGGTTTGTTTTCCTGGCATTAGAGAATCCCTTTTTAATCTAGGCACATTTTAAAGGCAAAATGACTTCCAAATGTATTGATATATAATAAAACCACTCAAAAACTCGGAACTGAAGCTAAGAGTCTCTCTTCTTGTCAGTCAGAAGAGATCAAAAGACATCCCATATTCAGTTTTCCATCTGCAAGGAAGTAGGCCGCCGGAATCATTAAAAGTAAGAATGAGCCAGGAACACTGTCTTTATTACATCCAGTGCCAGGAGGAAGAATGATGTCAACATACACACACACACTCACTGACCGACCGCGCACACGTGCATCCTCCCCTTCCCCCCCCAGACAGCTCCCTCAGCTCTCCATGAGCTGGACGGCCCATCACTCTGTCAGCCGCCTGCCTTCTGCAGACCTCCGTAAGCTGACTGCCCACCTCTGCTCTCAGACAGCGGGTCACCTTGGGGGCTGAACAGGCTCCCAAATCCCAGACACCAGGACAAATTTCCAGGCCGCCATGGTGATCTGGGATTTGTCGAGGCCTGCACTAGAGGAAAGTGTGAGTTTATTTAAGAGATAATTAAACGACTGGCCAAGGGAGCTTGTCTGTGTATGAGTGACTGGATTACCCTCTCTGTGTTTGCACACGTGGTGGCTCATTATGTGTGTGAAAGATACAACATGACTTAATTGGTGTGTGAGAGTGGTTGATGTGGCACAATTGTGAGTGTGGTTAAAGGAAAACACATTTGATATTTAATTAGATGTGTTTCTTTTGTTATTTAGATTACTGTGCCACCCTTATTATTATTACTACAAGTAATTTGGTGTCCAGTGTGTCCCTTTAACCAGCTATGCATTAAAGTAATAGGTGTGTATGTAAATTCACAAAGCACTATCCTATATATTGCTTGCCTGAAAAAAAGAAAAGAAGAAAAAAAAGATCCAAAACAATCTGTTTTAGATCCAACTGAGCCTGCGATTTTTGTGATGGGCAGTTGATTTCATCTGCTGCCAAAAACCTAGATTTCTAGAAACAGCACATTTGCCAGAGTGATAGATCCCAAGTGTTTTAATAGGCAATATGTAGAAAACATGTTCAGCAAGCTTCAAGCGCAGAAATAGAACTGGCATCTTAAAGGTCTGCAGTGTTAACCCCTTTAAAACAGAGGGACTATGCTACATTTTTCAGAAACTGTAGTATATTTTGCAGGTCCCCCCCACCTTCAAATTCCCAACAAGTTCTAAAGTAAATGAGAAACAAACAAACCAACAAATAAGCACTTCAAGCTTCAACAGTATTTAAAAACATGGAGATAGCCATACTGGAAATGCATTAACCTTTTTAGAACACATTGACTGACACTGATAAAAAGCAAGCAATGAGCTGTTTAAGCCAGGTATTTCACTGTGAGTGAAAGAGGAAATGGTTGTTTGAACGGTTTGATGATTCCAGTACCATGTGGCAGTCCAGTCCGGGTGTACACACCTTATTCAAAACTTGCTGAGCTATTTTTAAAGACTTCAAAAGATAGAGGATTCTAAATCTTAATGGAACTAACATTTCTAAAAATAGGGCAACTTTAACCTTTATCATTCCTGTTCTAGAATCTGATGCCCACATGAGCTATATTAGTAAAGATTTGATAAGTGGTTTTGTGTTATCCCCCTGCACTTTATATTCTAGATTAGAAGAAAAGAAAAATAGCAGGCATAATATTATAGCTTTCATGCAGACATATTAAGAATAAACTACATACATGGCCCTTAAGGTTTACATCTGCAAATCAGAAAACCGAAAGTGTTTTATGTTCCGTCTACAGCCCAAACATGTTAAGAGCCAAGTGTCTGACAAGAGCTTGGCACGAACACACCAAAAACACGTCTGGAGGGTAGTGAGCCTGGGAAATGTTCCAGCAACTGGAATCAGCAAAGTCATGAACCTACAAAAATACAGTATCATCAGAATAAAATTACTCCCAATGACCACAGCTAAACTGTGCAGATTGTTCTTCATTAAGCATGATCTGCACAATACTAACAGAGATTGTGTAGAGCATCCGCAACTTTAGCTTTTAAACTGGAGAGGGGAACAGGCCACCTTTCTCCTACTTCAGTATCTAGTTATCATACAGAAGAGCTAGGTTATCTAGCAGTTTGATCTGACAATGTCAAGCTAAATGACATATGACCTTCACTAAGCATGGTATGATTGTCTGCACTAATTTATGGACCATATATGTACAGCATGCTAAAAAGAAAGAACATAGATTAACAGTTGGAAGATTTTACAAAGTTAAGTTTCTTGATGAAGTATTTTTGTGATTTGATGAAATGTTCATGTGTTGTGGTCTATAATGTCTTACCAGAAGACTTCACTGCATCGGTTGCATTGCACACGCCGAGCCTTTGGCTCCTGAACCTGTATGACCATTGGGCAATCTGCACCTGGACAAAGCTGTAGCTGATAATGACTCTGAGAAAATAAGAAAAATTAAAGGCGAGAAACAAAATGTTAGTATCACCAGTTGAAGGCACAGCTTAATAGAATAAATAATACCTACAGGGCTTGAGATAAAATAACTTATAGAGAAGAAAAAAAGCTGATTAAAATAGGTTGTGTTGAAGTGTGAACTAATGGTATACAGAAACTTTCTGCTTGTTATAAGGTGTCACATGTGGTTTTTTTTGCATAATCCAATCAGAGTTTCTTTTAGTTTTGTTTTAAAATTCCTCATTTGCCAGGTTGTCCTGGAAGAAGCCAATGAGTTTGACCCCCTACGGTGCTGTGCACAAGAGAACACGCACTTGTATGGAACTTTCTAACCAGATGCCGGAGCATTGAAGACATTGGGTGAACCAGGAAGTGCTGTGGAACGTTAAGTTAATGTTTCAATAACAGTAATTGCTATGAAGGAATAAGAAACTGGCATTAAGTGACCATTGCTCTTTAAATACATGAACACAACATGAAACCTGAAATACCTACCTGGTTACATTCAAAAGATATAAATATATTTAAAAATAAAATAATATTTATAGGGGGTGGAGACTATAAAGGGCCGCAATATTCGCCTAACATGAAAATGTATATGAAGTGAAAAGGGATATTTGAGGGTGGAAAAAAAGAAATCAAACACGAGAACAATACTATTAAATCATCACTGTTGCATCTGTTGGCAAGGATTGCAACGTTGCTTGTTGTCTACTTTTGCACGCAGTTGCTCATTTACATAGGAGTTGGAAATCCATTTAAATACATTTGCACTAGAGCGTTTGTATTTTCCATGGGGGGGGGGTCAGGGAGGGGGGAACTGCAGACTATCATTTTGCTCCCACTGAAGCAGGGGGAAACGTACTGCACATGGTAGGTAGTGGTGCATTGAATATTCATAGGGATCAGTGTGTAAAACATTTGTGCATATACAGTACAGCAACAAATGAGTTCAATGATTTGAATGCAAGCATCTGCATCTATGCAGCGCTTGAGTCTGGTTTCTGAGTTATCAGTTAGAGACCATGGTTTCTGTCCTACTCTCAGTAGTTTGTATCATATTCGCTTTTTTCAGCAGATATTTTGACCGTGCCACCAAGCACTAGACTGAAAAGGTCAGCTTTTTGATATGATAAACTACACACAGCAACTTTAAACAGAATAAAATGTCATCCATCTGCAGATTTTACAAGCTGAAATGATGACACACATACAGACAACTATTTTCAGATGAGTTTCCTTGTTATTTTTTACTTTAAGCTTTAATATGACTGGAAGGTATCCAGATGCTTGAAGTGACACTTTAACCCTTGTCCCTTGTAAGATTTCAGGATCTAGAGCACCCACAAAGCTCTGCATTCAGCCTCTGCAGTGGGAACATTCCTTTCTCAGGCCTGACAAATGCCTATCCATGAACCTTCTTTAATTGACTGAGACCAGACATGACAATACCTCTACATAATCCCTGAAGAGATAACGTTTGTATTTCTCTTTTAGCTCCTCGTTTGCTAGCAGTGGAAACACAAAATCCTCTGGCGCCCGAAGCAAGCATTCCTGGGCCATGCAGGAAATCCCTGGGGAAGAGATACACAGAGATGGGCATTAGGAGCATGTTAATCCTGACAATGGTAGACAGGCACTCTGGTAAAAGCTCTGGCAGACCCAGATTCCTCCAGAGTCCAATGTACATCTGAGAGAAATTATTTATGGTTTATATTTGTATCAATAGGAAGCAGCATGTAATAGCAACAAGATATACAAAATCACAGGTCCTGGTCCTTAGTACATCTAAAGTCATTGACTGACTTTGGACTTCCTAGTGGTCTTGGGGTATCATGCCAAATCCATTTAGTCAGGATGCACAAATATAAATAAGTAAAATCAATCATAGCCAACATTTTATCGGGCCACTGATAATAGATAGATTAGCATTGGAAGCATAGTAATTTCATATACTGCCAGGTAGAATTTTTAAGCCGTTCCTGAGAGGATGCACATTTCATAAGCTTCTTTAAAAATGGTAAGCTCAAAGGCCTGGATTATTATTAAACCAGTGATGTAGATATTGGAAAGCACTGCCCAAAATGCTCAGCCTGCCTTTAAAGGAAATGTAGTCCTTGCATAGCAGTGTCGATGTGGGATGCAATCACTTCCATGAAATTGGAAAGGAATTCTCTTTGACACAGTTACAAGGCTGTCTGCCCTCTCCTGAAGTACTTACCGACACCGACCCCATCTTTTACTAAAACGGTGCAATGTTGTTCCCAACAGCTGCGGCAGAAAGGATGCTGACAGGCCAGAGACAGCAGGTTCTCTTTACGCACAAACTGCATGCAAACAGCACAGTGATGGGAGGAATGTGCTGTAGCCTGGAGAAAACAAAAACAAAACGTAATGAACTGAACTGTCAAAAAAATTATATATATTTTTGTTAGAATGCAAAGCAAGTAAAGAACCAAGGGATTCAGCTGTAATTACTTTGGTCTATGTATTACTTCCCATTAGGCCCTTGCAAAACCTTTCATTCAAATTTTTCATTTGTTATCGGTGGGAGCTCATTGGTAGACAGAGTAAGAGTGTCAGCTGACATTCTCAGCCTATCACGGGCTGTCTGGTTACACATTCCATATATTGCAGTAAAGAGGAAAACTGTAGTCAGGAGGCTGAAACCCCAACTTCGGTGTTAAATTGGCTGAACCCGTGAAGGTAGGAACATAACCTGGACACTTGTTGCAAAGCCCACATGAATGGTTTTTTTTTTAAATCTAAAATGACACCATATTGTGGTCACTATTTCCCACGTGCACCCTTACTTGAATAGGTGCATTTATTAATGTAATGCCATAATTATTACAAGATACAGACACGCATCTATTCTAAATGGTGCTTCTACTTATTAGGATGTGAAAGTATCTTAAATAGGTTCAAAAACCTGACTCCTCAAGCTGAACAAGCAGTGCCTTCATTTGTTCATGTTAATATCTGGATAAATAAAATTTCCATTTATTAAAGACTTACCCAGATGTGCAGCACTATTAATAACAATGGCTCTTCTTCATCAATACTAATATTTAGGATTTGTATCATATTGCTACAATAGATGGCCCCCTGTTTTCTCCCATGTACATTTCTACCAAAAAGGCTTATACATTCCACCTGCATCGTCACATATGATTCCCCTGAAAATGTACTTTTATTCATGTTTCACATAAGCAAAGTTCCCCCTTTTATACTTCCTATGTCATGTGAATCCATTCCAATTATAAGCCCAGTCACATGTTTTATCCCAATAAGTTTTAGTAATACCATTGTATACCAACATTTTGTTACTCAAGCTTCTAACTCATCAAGTACATTTAAGGTTAATAAATAAATAATATATATATTTTTTTTTACTACCAACTACATTATTTATCATCCTACGCCAACATTTTCACTTTGATCTACCTAATATCCCACTGCCTTTCCACTATAGATCTTGGCAAATGAAGCTTTACAGAAAATACTAGAACCCTTCATTTTGCTCTGAATTAGTAATTGGTACCAATATAAATCATGGTAGCTGGGTCATCTCCGGCACTTTCCAACAAGCAGCTGCGTTATGTTGGTATACATCTCCAGAATCTTTGTCCAAGCTAGATTGTGACTGCTGTATTCTCTATTCAAACAAGCAAAGCACTGAAAACACTGTAATCAACCTGCTGTGATGAATGCAGTTACTGGGAGCACATGCTATATGTACAGTATACTTACATGTTTTGAAGGTGAAGGCTGAACTTTTGCCTCAACTAGCACCTGTGCAGAATTCTGTTTATGCCTGCAATTAAGTAGAATTTCAATTAAAGTGTGCATTTGCTGCAGTGTACAACTAAGAATTAACCCCATGACCTATTTTTTTTTTTTAGAAATACCTGCCAGTCATTAGGGCAGATAAACACTAAAACCACCACCTATCCAGAGCACCAAGATTCCAGGTTATTTAACTGGCACTGTTGCAATTACTAAATATGAGACTTGTTATTTCAAAAATTGAATTTTTCCATTTTTAAAATAACAAGTCTCATATTTAGTAATTTTTTCCAATGGAATTCAGAGAAACACGCGTGAACATTTCAAGATGAAGTTTTTAAAACTGAGCTTCAACAAACAGTTCACTTAGGTATACATAGCATAGATATTTACAGGTATCAGATGTTCAAAGAAACCAAGAACGCACCCAAATCTGATATGTGACACGGCTCGCACTTATATTTTTCCACACGTCAAGAGGGCATTAAAAGTGACCTGATAATCACACTGGCACAATCCTACATTCTGCCCCAGATGTACCTTATATCTCTATACAGAAATATAACTGAATCTGTGATTTGCTCTTAATAATCAATACATTAATTTAAGACCTTGATTATGTAAAAAAAAAAAAAGCAAAAATATCACCCTTTACCCCCATGCATTTATCTGTTTCGGTTCTTGGGACATTTATACATAATATAATGAACTTGGAAATCCGGTACAGGTATTTATTTTTCTTGCATATGATTATAGCAAGATATAGGCTTTCAACTAAGAAATAAGTGGACAAGAAGAAGCTGTACAATTGTTGTGTACAGTTGATTAGATTTCCCAGAATGCCTTTCTGTACTTTGCTCTGATTGTGCACACAAAGGATTACGGTTTTGACACTCAATGCATAAAACATATATACCTACTTACCTTTCTAATATCTCGGAGACTTGCCAATGAAAGTTCACTAATATGAGTTTAGCCACAGAGTGAGAGACCTAAGATTAGAAGAAAAACAAAACAGTTTAGTGTTCATGCGATTTGAAGAGGGGGTACATATTGACTCATGCCAGTCACAGTATCATTGACAATGTAAATATTTCGTTGCTATACCCTGCTATTACAAAAAGGCATCTATGGAAACATACTTTACAAAACACAGTGCCAATGACAGCCATAACTTATACGTTTCATTACTTAGGAGTTATGTCTGTCATTGGCACGAAATGCATTTTTAAACAAGAAGAATCCTTCCAGTGTAAATTTCCCTGCTCATCGGACAGTGAAAGGTTACACCAAGCAAGCTATTGCACTTGTGAAACTATACGGGATGCACCAGATATCAAAGGAAATTAAAACCGTTGTGCATCAAAATTACAATGCACCTTTCTGATCCCTAACATGGGCATGTAAATATTTGCCACAGTTTAAATGTCACACGCTGAAAAAGTGTAATATTCGCACAAAGTATAAATTAGGAACTGGGGCAAAAAAACAGACAACCTTGAAATAAGCATCCAATATTTTTCAATGCAAGTAAATATGTAAAAAGTGTGAATCTACTCCAGCCTCTGTGACATTACTTTTTTGTGAAATACGGTGACGAGAGCAAAATGTACAAATATAACCATGTAAAATGATCCAAACCAAATAAAAGGGATTCATTTGCACTTTTACAAATGATTCTCATCCTCATGACAGCACTATATGTGCCCTGTACATCTCTCATCTTCCAAAAGGCACATGAAGTATATCAGAGATTAGAGGATAACTGCAAGACATACATTTATAGTAGTCACATTCTTATGATGACAAGTAAGACTTTTTTCTGATTATTAACGTCCCTTTAAATGCAGTTTCTGGTTTTCGCCTCTAGTGGCCTCACTAGCCACTAGTCACATCATACTCACCTGTATCCTATGTTAAGTCCTGCTATAAATGGCTACACCCAAGCAAGAGGCCATTACATTGAAGTTGGTGTTCACATCAAGAACTTCATATCCTGGCTCCTGTGAGGGCTCCTGTGAGAGATCCTGTACTTACCTGCATTGCATGCTGCTTGAATTGCTACAATCCTTTCTCCTTCCTAATTTGGATTATCAACTAGCCTGTACTTACCTGCATTGCATCCTACTTGAATTGATACAACCCTTACTCCTTCCTAATTGGGATTACTATAAACTATCATGTACTTACCTGTATTGTACTCTACCTGAAGATTCTGGCTCCTGTAAGAGATACTGTACTTACCTGCATTGCATCCTACTAGAATTGCTACAAACATTACTTCTTCCTGAATTGGATTACTATCAACTCTCCTGTACCTGCCTGAATTGCTTCAACCCTGCACCATAACTACTCTATCTACTATTGATTTAACCTGATTCATTCAATCCTGCACCCTTCCTACTTGGATTGCTACTGAATTATCCTAACTACTGATAAATACAAACCTGCAAAACCCACTATCTGGACATTGCTGCAATTTGATGTCTAAGGTGTTCCTTTCATTCCTGATTCTTTAAAAAAGTTACTAATACCCGTCTTGTTATTTTCACTATACTTCTCCAGCTTTATTATTTGCACTCTTGGTTGTTTTCTTTATAGGGCATATTGCCTTAACGTTGATTTCTTCCTTTTTCTTATTTATTCTACTAAAAATACTGTTATAATGTCAAAAGCTACGAATAAAGTCACTTCTGTTAAACCTGGCAATTGTCTCCTATCTGACCTGATTGAGAACATGACAGTAGTATGTAAATAGCTTTTATTTTGAATATTCATCACATAAATCTAAAAAAAATATAATGGAGTGTCCCTCTTAAGGAGAGACACTCAATTCAGACATCCAAATTGATAGGGGGTGAGAGAGCTAGCAGTTCTACAGGCTTTGGTGAACTGTAACTCCCAAACTACTTTTGGTCTGCTACCAGTTTCTAGGAATTGTGGGACTTGTAGTTTCAAATGGTCAAATGCATTCAGGGATATTTCCTTCCCATTTACAATGCTTACAAATGGATTCCAAGTGATGCTACCAAGAATGGGAAAAACATTTAATAAATAGCTAGAAAGTGAGTAATGAGCTCGTCATTTCTGACTCTTTCTCTGATCATCGAGAACCTCCATCTCCGAGGAGAGTTTCTGTGGCTGTAGCCTCTCATATAGGAGACAATTGAGAGAAGGATGTTTAGTCTAAGGGAAATATCTAATATTAATGCAGTTATTTCTTCTCCAACTGAGGTCAGGAGATCTCAGTAAATACCATAAAAAACAAAAAAAAAATTCAGATCACATTTGTTAGTAATCAGGACTGTTCTGCAAAAGTGCCTCTGATAAACACCACTGTTGCTTCAAGAAGATGATCACCTTCTTCTGAGGCCTGATATTAATAATTGATAGTACTTTGGATCGGCATCTACATTGTCCAGGGGCTTTGCAGAATGAGGTCACATAACTGGTGGAGCAGGCAATGAATGTTTATTTGAAAACAAAATCCAAGCTAAATAACAATACACTATGGTAAAGCACTTTGCTGCCTAATGGCAATAGAGCAGCAAAAAGTATAATCTGATGGATTTGTGAGGAAGTCTGGATCTGCACATTACTTAACTAATCTTCACTGCTTACAGTCCTGTTACACAGACTGTGTACAGATAAAGAAAACACAAGGACAAGGCACTCTAGCTGCTGGTGAACTCCAATTCTTCTTACTCTCTCTATTACCATGAATTGTAGTAGAAAAACACCTGGACTTCCTCTAGCTGCAGAGCATTGAATAAAGTACCACCATATTGTGCAGTATGGAGTTATAAATGGACACGGTGACTGGGGGAAAATGGCCACTTGAAAAATAAAAATGCTGATTCAGGACACTGTGCTCTTTGCTGTTTACGTTTGGCTGCCTGTGGAATGTCCTAGGACAGCGACCAGAAGGTCAGATACTTAGGAGCTCTTATACAAGACCTCTGCAAACAGACTGATCAGTTCAAGGACCTAAGCACAAGCATTACACACTAAAAGGATCGGCTGTTAAAGGGACAGTCCAGCCAGACATATGAGGAAGTGAAGAAAAAGAACAATTTTCTTTTTAAATTCTTATTAGGAGTCCGCCTCCCCCTCCTCTTTTCATAATGGCAGATACATGGCTATTGTTACGTGTGCAATCTTGTCCTGAGCTCAATCAACTCTGCATGTCAGGAGGCATCTGACTTCACACTACAGACAACATATTATTCCTGGAGCTCCAACCTTTTAATTTCCAAAGTAGGAGATTACACTTGCATTATATACGGTGTGACAACATGTAACATTATTGAAAGTTATGCAGCTGCAATAAAGGTTCATTTCTGGTATATTTTTCCCTTGTCCTAAACTGGTTTTAGAATATTGAATAAATCAACGCAAAGCCTTCTCATATTTCTAGTTTAGTTTATAAATAAAGCCTGTAAGCATTTTTCTTGGTTATAGGTGTGGCAGCTAATCTCAGAGCATTTTTATTGCAATTACAAATACATTTTAAAAGGGACACAACAGTCACTAAAACAGCTACAGCTTAATGTAGTTGTTCTGGTAAGTAAAGGACACCTCCATACTCCTCAGATGGCCACTGGAGGCACCTGGGGCTGTGCTGCACAGTGTAAACGCTCTGCATGGAGACAATGAACTTTCCTCATAGAGATGCATTGATTTAATGCATCTTTATGAGAAGATGCTGATTGGACAGGGTGTTTGATTCCACCCCCGGCCTGCCTCCTTGACAATCTTAGCCAATCCAATGCTTTCCTATGAGAAAGCATTGCGACTGGCTTAGAACATCACTTCTAATGATGTTAGCCAAGGAAGCAGGTAGACAGGAAATTAGATAAGATTTTACTATATTTAGGAATGCAAGAGGCGGCTAAATGGTGTTTTGAACACTACAGGGTCAGGAATACATATTTGTATTCCTGACTCTATGGTGTTTATTTAACTTTTTCTGCTCACCACTGGACTGTGGAAATGGAGCCCTGGCAAATTAGTGTTACATTACCTGCGGTCATTAGGCCAGATGAAAGCCAGCAGAGACACTGGAAGTTCAATTACACTGAAGTGGTCATTGTGCTTGGAGAAGCCCTTAAAAGGGACACAAAAGGCACCAGAGTTATGTTCTAGAAAACAGCAATGTTTTACATTGCAGGGTTAAAATCACTGGGCTTATGCCCCTAGATCACTTCATTAAGATGAATTTGTCAGAGTGCCTTTAGTGTCCCTTTAACTTACCATACACCGTGTTATCTTGAGCAAAGAGTCTTTTGGAACACCGAAAAGCTCCAATTAACAATCAAGCTAAAATTGAACTATTGCACAAAGATTATTATGAGTAAAGGTTTGTGGGGTTTTTTCCTCTGGTGTCAGTTAAATGGTTTTGCAAATGTAGATGAAGGAAATTGAAACAGCAAAGCATCTGGCAGGGTCTATGAAATTAAAGCTGGGGCGCGAGATCAACAAGTGACGTCGATATGCTCAGAGAGAAGGGAGCAAACGGGACTTAAAGTACCTGAAACATTTACCCATCAAGAAAAAAAAAAAAAAAAAGTTCATATAATGGAGCTATCTGCATTTTAACCTTCTCTGGGAACTTAATCAAAGGACTCTGTAAGGCAACATGCACAAATCCAGAAGAGCACTACTGTGGTTCAGCAGTTAGGTAAAAGCAGTGCTTTTACATACCCAGGAGCCAGTGAGCCATGATGTCTGAATTTATTATTGTGATTTATTGGAAAAGAGACACAGACACACACACACACACACACGCGCGCTACAGGTTAGCTCCCAATCCTAGGACATATCTGCCTCTCCTGTGTACAGAACTCAGACATAGAACTATCCACCCACTCACATATATACATACATAACTAGCCAAACTCTCACTCAGTTCTGGCAAAAAGGTGGTGGTAAAAACTTTTTACAGTGTACCACTTTGTGGTAAAAAGTTTAAAAACAGCACCACATTTTATCTCTATATTCTGATAGCATAATTTTTTTTTTTTTTAGCAAATCTATAGTTTAAAACAAACTTTTGCTGGAGAAGTGGCATGCACTCACTTAAAGTGAAAGGCCTCTAAGAGCACATTAGCTTGCGGAAGTCTTGTGTGCATGAAGGGTGCATCATTTTTTTTTTTTACTTTACAAAATGAAGATTTTTTTTTTTGATTTTTTTTTAGAAATGTAAACTTTTATAAATCGGCCTTGTTTCAACCACTTTCAGTCAGACTGGTAATATTACTTCCTGTTTGTCATTTGTCCAGGATCTAAAAATTTTTATGGCTGGAGCCATGTCATGGCAATCCAAAGAGACATTCCACCATTTCCTTAATCCCATTGTATTATGGTGTGTTGAGACAAACTCGTGTTCACAAGTCCCCTAAATCTGGAAACTGTGTATTTCTGCCAGTTTTATCAAGACAATTCCCTGCCTCCCTTGGCCTTCCACATCCACTTTGTCTGAAGGATGTTTATAGAGGTGGCTCTATTCTTATGAATGTGTCATAAGGAAACTGCTATTCCTGATGCCATGGTCCAACTACCATCAACTCAAGTTTCGCTTGGCTTATGCCTGGGTTCTTGACTTCCATTCTCCAACTTTATCTTTTTTTATCAACCTAGACCTCTGGCGCATGCTATATCATTACTGTACTTATCATGGATTACAACTAAGGAGATGGCTCCTCTACCACATTTCACTAATTACTGGGAACATAACAGGACAGATTTGAACCAGAAGTCATTTATAAGCACAAAGTATCATAAGACTGAATATAACATGCACACACACTGACATAACCCCAAAATTGGCAAATTGGCATCCTATACTTTCCATCAGGACCATGAATGCTATTGGTATAACAGAGAACTTAGTAAGTTTTTTCATATCTGCCTCCCCTATACAACCATTCTTGAAATGTATTAATTCAGTTCAACACTCACAGAAATACAAATTCTTCGGTCTCAAAACATCATAAGACTTTAAAATTTCATTTACACCACTCATAGCCTTATTTAAGTGTTTTGGAGGCGGAGTGTGGCCCGGATAGATTGATCAGCAAAGCTTACGACATCCGTACAATTGAAGAATTGTATCCAGTTTTGAGAATTACCAGAGGTAAACCCCACTTGATTTCAATGGATGGTGTGGCTATCATCTGGGTCTGCCAGCTCTGTAGCCTATATACCTTTATTTTTGGTTGATTTGATTCAGGGTGGTAATGTATGGGCATGCATGCTTTGTGCGCATGCGCACACTTTTTTCTCTTATCCCCTTCCACACTTTTCCCATATACACACACACACTTTTTCTTGACTTACCGTACTGATCGTTTATCAGAATATTCAAGTCAATATATTAAGGTTTTATTTCCACTTTAACATTTCGGAGACACCAGGAGCTTGTGTATTTATTGTACAACAACCTACCCTAACCATAATCCTACACTATCCCCAACCAAGAAACATAATTAATGGAACACTATATTCACCTAATTTACTTTAGCTAAATAAAGCAGTTTAAGTGTATAGATCATTCCCCTGCAATTTCACTGCTCAATTCACTGTCACTTAGGAGTTAAATCACTTTGTTTCTGTTTATGCAGCCCCAGCCACACCTCCCCTGGCTATGATTGACAGAGCCTGCATGAAAAAAAAAAATGGTTTCACTTTCAAACAGATGTAATTTACCTTAAATAATTGTATCTCAATCTCTAAATTGAACTTTAATCACACACAGGAGGCTCTTGCAGGGTCTAGCAAGCTATTAACATAGTGGGGGATAAGAAAATCTTAATTAAACAGAACTTGCAATAAAATAGGGCTCTCTTTACAGGAAGTATTTATGGAAGGCTGTGCAAGTCACATGCAGGGAGGTGTGACTAGGGTTCATAAACAAAGGTATTTAACTCCTAAATGGCAGAGGATTGAGCAGTGAGGCTGCAGGGGCATGTTCTATACACCAAAACTGCTTCATTAAGCTAAAGTTGTTCAGGTGACTATAGTGTCCCTTTAATCCTAACCCAGCATTAGCCCTTAACCTACAGTAGCCCTAAACCCTCCCCATCACAGAGGGATTCCTCCTGCTGACAGCACAAGGATTTCCCAGCTCACAAACAGAGTACTCTGTGAGGGTCATCTACTAGGTTACTGCAGGATGTGAAGATGTCACTCTCATGCTGCAACTCTGGAATGCTGTCTGTTCCAATCACACTACAAATGGTGCTGGGCAGCTGGCAAAGTCCAGTGCCAATCACGATCATTGAAAATGCTTCTTTTCACACACTGGGGGCCTCCTGCTCTTGTGGGCAGCCGGCTCAAAATCACCACGGCTAATCGATTGCACTTAGAGGATTTAAACAGATTTGAAGGGCTGTATCATGCAACACTCAATTTGAGAATGGCACACAGCTCACCTGTCCGTCTAGTGCCCAAAAATATGGCCCCAGCCAACAGAGGTGAGCCCCCCAAGAAACGATTAATTTAACCTGGCTCAAACCAAAACATTAGGATGTTTCATGCTGTCTCAACATCCTTAAGGGGTTAAAAAAGTTAAATTATTAGTGCAGGGACACGTCTCTCACTATCTCCAATACTCACTTGATTAGTAGGCAACTACACCTAGTCAGCCTGACATGCTATCAATAGGTAGAGCGCTCTAGCAATAGTTGCCTACCATCTGGGGCTGGTACCCTCACAAACATCCAGCTGACACTCTCTACGTGTTACTAGCAAACCTTTTTCTACATATAAAAATGTGCAGTAACGTCATTGCATTACCACTGTTTTGATATGTTGATTTATCTGTGCCTAATGCTGCTGCTGTTGTGGCTTAATAAGCTCTTGTGTCTTTTTAACGAACAACAAAAATAAAGAATAAAAAAAATAAAATAAAGTAAAAATGTTTTCAGGCCTCCCTCCCCCACCTTGTACTCTAATTACAAAAATCCTGAAGAGAAGAAAAAGGTTACTATATGTTCTGAACGGCTTGTTCTATAAACAACCTTGTAAAAAGACACTAAAAGTTGTATTTCATTAAAAGAATGGAACATTGTAATGACGCTGTCAAAGGGGCAGTTACTTTTTTTTACCCGAGTCCCCATCAGGCAGTGATCAGGATAATGTAATCACAGTCAGTCAGCAGAGCAACCCAATAAAAATAGAGTCCCCCCCAATAATCTGTGCAGACACATGGCAGGTTTCCTTCCATTGCCTACAAAACGAAACAAGTCCTATGATTGGTTTTAGTCCATGTCAGCAATAGGGCAGGCCTAAATGACTTCCACTGGGGGCTTCCAAAGTGCAGTAAAATGCCATGTTACTTAAAATAAAAAAATACCGGTATATGCCATTTAAAAAATAAATAAATAAAAATACTTTCATTAATAATAATTCAAATTAAAAAATAAAATATAGTGTATTTTAAAAATGAAACTGTAAAAAGAACATTTTGCCATCTTGGACTCCATGCTGTGACAACCTCCTCTTAGATCTGGGCAAAAATACTAAATGCAACAAGAAGGTTAACAAAAGCAAATTAGTTGAGAATGGTATCAGTAAAAAAAAACAATGAGCAAATTCATCAGAAAATTGCATAAGTTCCTGTGCCTCTCAGAAATGCACTTCATTCCAACCCTGCCCCATTAAGAGATTTAAAAAAAAAACAAAAAAAACCTTTTTCTTTTCATTAAAGCCAGATAAAAATATATATAAATATACACATGTATACACCTTTATCACAGATTTGGGGATTCCGTTTTAAAGGAACACTATAGCGTTAGAAATACAAACAAGTATTACACCTGCTATAGTGTCGCTTCACTGTTTAGATTCAGCCCCGTAAATTCAGTCTAAGAGGAAAAAAGGTTTAAAAACGTACCATTTTTCCCCCAACACAGAGACTCACATGATACAGCCTATTGTGACGTCATTCAGCAGACATTTATTCTCAACAAATCCAATGCTCCTCACAGAGAAGCATTGCGGAAGAGAAATATTTGAACGTTTTTACATCAGAACCCCCAAATACAATAAAGATTCTGAAAGGGTCGTCCACTGAAGGTCACAAGGGGGAAGAGAAGCACATGTGCAGTGTGTGCCGCACTTCACCAATCAAATAGCATTTAGAAAAGGTGACGTGTAAGAACTGAGTCTGACTCGGCAGCAGTGCCACTAGTTGCTGTCAGAAAGACCTGCTCAGTGCTACCGACTAAGTTTTTAATAAATAGCTACCGACTAAGTTATATGATAAATCAGAGAGTGAAAAAAATAATCATTAATCAAATAACTCTGCTTTTGGAAGACTTTCTTACATCTCACAATAGGCAAGATAAATTTCACAAAGTGTGTTTAAGAAAAAGGATCCAGTGACCTTTACATCTGCTTACCTTTAGCAAAGATGCCATATTTGCCATTTGCTCATTCAGAGCACTCTCAGACTCTCGGTAGGTAAGACAGCTAAAAAGATATTCCTCTGGATCAAAAGAGTCTGCTCCTTGCTGTTCCACGTCATTTGCAACCCCATCATAATAATCCTCTATGTCCCCTGGGTCATCCTCTTCCTCCTCATCATCATCATCACAATTCGGATCATAGTCCTCATTGCTGTCTGATCCCTGACTGTTCATATCCACAGACATGTTACTATGAAGGGGTAAAACAGAGCAAGGGAGCAATAAGGTCCTCGGTGCAAACCCCCTTCACAAGGTAGCACTATGCTGTTGTCTGGAACCCATCTGTAGCAGTAGTCTTCTGAAGAGAAAAGAGAAACAGTGAGAAAGTGTGCATCAATAAATATATGAGCATATGCATTACAATATGGGTGTCTGAACTTGGCAACACGTCCCATGATCCAAGGCCAACCAGAGGAAGCTGGAAAGCCAAACTTGGACTATCATTGAATTGCAATGTCATAAATTAGTCATATTATTCTCAGAACTGCTAAACAGGCCATGTTAAAAATCAAATATAAAAGGTTTACAGAATATAAAGTACATCTGTCATGGAAGAACATTGCACGGTGGCAAGACATGGCCAAAGGTCTATCAAAAGTGCACATGAAATTTAAATTCAATGCTGGAAAAGAAACTATAGCTACACAAGTGAAATGTGCAAGACTAACTTCTATAGACTTTCAGATTGCAGACTGAAACAAATGCAGTATATGCTTGCCCAATCAACTAAGCTGGAATAGAGAATAGCCATTAAAGGGACGATAATCTTAATCTCAAAGTGATGTGGCTGCCATGTTCTCATCATGTTAACCCAACAAGTAAAATCATTGCCATTCTGCAGGAACGGCAATATTTACATTCAGGGTTTAAATGCCTCTAGTGGATCCCAATCACTAGTGCAAATTCTAGAAACCTGCAATATGCATCTGTACATCGTAGGCAAAAATGTCTCTCCCATAAGCCATCATCTACAAAAGTAAGGGATTGCTTTGGGTTTCTCCTTCAAAACAGGAACTTCGCTACTAGTTTTAGACACAGCAAGGTGGCTGTGGAATTACAGAAAATGTTATAGGATTGCCTTCAATTACAATAAACAAATACAAATTACAAGGTAATAAGTGTAGTGTGTCAAAGGAAAAACAGGAAAGGTTGCAGTTAACGTTTTTGGGGCCCCTCTATTAATTACCCTTTGAAGGTAACAGTTAATGATGCAATTAATAGATCACTTATAAATATATATGAACAAATGTATTTCTTTAGGCATTTTAATACAATACTTACACCCTAGCTTGCAATGTCAATGCTGTCCTGATGTCAGGTTTGTGTATGTTCAACTAGCAGTAACTTTCCTCCTAAAGAACTTCCCAAAGCATGACACACAAACCCGATCATGCTTATTGGTAGGAATCAGTGCCAGCACACTGAATGGAATGACGTTTATCATTCTGCCCTATAGTCCTCAAACATAACTTGAGAAGCTCATAGTCTTACACTTGCCAAAAGTAATCAATTTAACAGCAGCATATGCACTGCAGCTGCTTTGAAGACAAGCAGCAAAACCACTTGTAGGTGTGTATGTCAAGATCTGAATGACCGTTGGGGAGGTCACTTTAAATCCATATATTTGCTTGCATCTATATTCATTATGAATATACGATGTGTATACCATAACCGGTAAGAATTATGAACCTTTGAAACAAATGCTTCCCAAACCGAACCCATTGATCTAAAGATTTCTACACCTCCTTTTATGTTAACCAGTCATGCCATTCTATTAAATATGAGGGGGAAAAAAACAAAACACTGACCTATTTTCTGAGTAAATAAAGAGCCTTTGATCTGGAAACGATCATGTGTTTCAACGAAGATTAATCTAAACAATATATCTTTATATGTAAATCTGCAACAGCTGTAAAAACTCTTCCCTGTGGATTACTGCTGTCCACATTATGTTGCACTCATAACCAACGCCATGATATTCTGGAAAATAAATTATTAATTTGCTAATCTAGATTTGGTTAAACTGGATTTCAATGTTTTTGCTTACTTTTTTTTATTTTAAGTGTATACTATGTTTGCAATATACACACACTACCTGATCTGCTGTTTAGATTAATGGTAGAACATATTTTTAAATCCATAAATACAAAGATGACATTTTATGTAAAAAAATCCCTGATGAGGTTAGATGATAAATTATTAGCTTTAGAACCCCCTTAGCAATGCTCTGTTAGGTATGAGAGAGCTGAAGGATTCTCCTTCCCTCTCTATAAACCATCTGGGTGAAGTCAGCCGTTAAGCCCATCTCCATGAGCTAGAAACATAATGTCGTAGAAGATCCAGGTCTGTGAAGGTTCAGTTTTTTTATGTAACTGACTTCTGAATAGATGAGTGTGCCTGACTTCAAAAGCTTTTTTTCCATAAAAAAAACAAAAAAAAAAACCACCTCAATTGCAGGAAATCAAAAACTTTTAGTCCAGGTATTCAAGAGATTTTCTTTCTTTAAAGGGATACTAAGCACTAAAACCATGACAACTTAAAGGGACTCTCCAGTGCCAGGAAAACAAATAGTTTTCCTGGCACTGCAGATCCCCTCTCCCTCCCACCCCAGGTTGCTGAAGGGGTTAAAACCCAGACCACTCCAATGGGCATAAGTGGTCTGGGTGCCCCTTTAATGTAGTGGTGTTGGTGCCTATTTGGTATCCACACAGAATGACAAAACATAGAACGTGACGGCATATAAGAACCATTCGGCCCATCTAGTCTGCCCAATTTTCTAAATACTTGCATTATTCCCTGGCCTTATCCCACGCATGCTTAAACTCCTTTACTGTGTTAACCTCTACCACTTCAGCTGGAAGACTATTCCATGCATCCACTACCCTCTCAGGAAAGTAATACTTCCTGATATTTTTAAACCGTTGCCCCTTTAATTTAAAACTATGTCCTCTTGTTGTGGTAGCTTTTGTCCTCTTGTTGTTGTAGTTTTTCTTTTAAATATAGCCTCCTCCTGTGTTGATTCCCTTTCTGTATTTAAATGTTTATAACATATCCCCCCCAGTCTCGTCTTTCCTGAAGTGATGCTGAATTTTCCTCATAGAGATTCACTGATTCAATGCATCTCTATGAGGAGGTGCTGATTGGACAAAACAGTGTTTGTCCCCACTCCTTTCCGATTTTAGCCATTCCAATGTTTTCCCCATGGATTGGCTAGAAATCGGCAATTTTGAGGGGGGGACCCATATGCCACCTAAATGGTGGGTTTTCACTATAGGGTCAGGAATACATTTGTGTTCCTGACCCTATTATTTTATTATTTACATAGCACAATCACATTCCATAGTGCTGTACATTGGGTGGACTGACATGTAATTTTAACCAGACAATTGGACATACAGGAACGGAGAGGTGGAGGACCCTGCTCAATGAGCTTACATTCCCTGTAGTGATCCTTTATGGAATACAATCATAAAGCATTATTATATAATATAAACACAACGTATTCATTAACATTACAATTTATTTATTTTACGAATTAAAAAAACATATTTCAGATGTATAAGTTGACATTGTTAATGTTCACTATTTGGTTTATAATTCATGTGTGTAAATTACTTTTGAAAAAAATTCAATAAAAATATGGAATTTCTTCCTGACAAAACCTGCCATGGGAAGCTCATGTCTACTCCCTTCCACGCCTCCCTATCCCATTCAGTATTGTTTATCCCATAGCCCTTCATCATGCATGCGCTCTGAGACTGTTAAATAGTCCAACCAAGGGCGCGTCTCTCGGAGAAGCCTATGATTGGACGTCCATGCAGACGGAGGCATGTCAAGAAGCACTGGGAGCTTTGCCCTGCAATGGATAATGGGAAGTAAATCTATAGTTCTAAACATAGAGCAGCCTGGATGAAAGGTTAATTTTTATCTTTAACTTTTAAAATAGGCGCCCCGAATCTAAAGGCACTAGGAAGCTGGGATTTGGCAAGAGTTGACAACAAAGATTTACCATTTGACAACTTCAGGCTAGCTGGAAGACAATGTAGTCCCTGTTTTACCTTATGATTATGTTTAAATTTCAATGACATTCAAATGCAGTTAGCATGAATATTTATTAAAGATTATATCTTTACTAAATACTCAGAAGTGGCAGAGCCACTTTAAAGGGATTCTATAGTGTTAGGAATACAAATCTGTATTCCTACCACGAAAGTGCCAGTGCCATTGACCGTTTTCACTGACACTAGATGTTCTTATGCAAAGCGTGAGTTCGCCCAGTGTCGGTAAACAGAGTAAAACACCTCTAGTGGATGTCTGATAGACAATCGCTAGAAGCAGTCTTAGTGCTGCAAAGTAATCATTGCAGTTTCTCAAAAACTTTATCTTGACAAAAAAAAAAAAAAACGTAAAAATTGGTGGCCATTGCAATGGTACAAAAAACCTCTAACCCACCCATGTAACATTTTTAGGGGTTGGTGGACAAGCAGGTAACATTTTGTTTGTTTAGTTAATACTTTGAGTTTGAAATCACCAGAGGTGATACCAAAAGGTACTGGGAGTTTGAGTCCATATATGCAAGATACACTTAGACCAACAGCTCTTCGCAATGTGTAGAATTACTGCTAGATAAACTACTTCAAGGAAATATAAATACTTTTGAATTCACAAGTCTCGTGAAAAATCTGTATCTGTTTTAAATTTACATTTGTGTACCGGTAGAACATGCTATTAGCCCATGTGTAGTAATGACGTACGGCACTCAGAGGGAACAATAGTACATAGTGTATGTATGGATGATCGATTTATATAAAGCACTCCTTGCACTTTATAGATTACATTACAGTGGAAGGGAGGTGTGGTAAGTGTAGTAGGTACACAGTTATACATTGTATGTAAATTTTATTTGGAAAAAAAAATTGAATATGTTGTCACAGGTAACATTTCTGGAGGGAAGGTAACATAAGTGCAGAAGATACACAATGAATAACAAAAGGTACTCTGCACTTTAGAGAAGATTGGAATCCAGCAAGTTCTACAGTGTATATTTTATTTATATAGCACTAGCAAGTGTACTTAGCACTTTACAGATTCCATTACAGTAGGTGTTATCCAGTAAGTGCTATAGTTATCACATAAATAATACATACACTGTATATGTACTGCAGCACATACTGCCAGTAAATCAACATTGTTTTGTCTAGTTACTTGATTACATCCACTAGACTCTATACTCTCTCATGTTTTAACCCTGAAGCACTCATATTCCAGCCTCTCAATGTAGTGCACTGCCAGAATAGATATTTCTATGAGTAAGGCCAGCTACTCATATTCCTGTCTCTCAAGCAGTTCCCAGCCTTTAATATTCTCTTGCTCGAGCTGTGCTTACACCTCTTCATGTACCTTTCACCCAGTTGCAGTATCAAAATGCAGTTCCAAGTCCTTGTTTATGCTGGTTTCCAATTCAGTATACCATCCCTCAACATTCCCATATATCCCTTCTTTTAACCAACATAGATCTGTTTAAACACAAAATCTTAGTTTCTAATTACCCGGTCTTTCTTATCCAGGAGCACAGCAAAGTAATCCTAAACACTCCAACACAATCTTATATGTTTGACACCCCAGGGACGTGGTGAAAACCCACTCGCTCCTCCGCCCCAGGGACGTGGCTGAAGGACCCTTGGCCCCGGGACGTGGCTGAAGGACCCTTGGCCCCGGGACGTGGCTGAAGGACCCTTGGCCCCGGGACGTGGCTGAAGGACCCTTACCCCCTGCCCCAGAAACATTATGAAAGCCCCCTTACCCCTGGGACAATGCAATAGCTGCAGTTAGCCCCCTGCCCCAGGGACAACACGATACCCCTCTTTTCCAAGTGGCTGGCTGAACATGTATAATTTATTTACGCTGCTATGTCCAGCCATTTAACCCGTAGGTTCCTTGCCCTGGTCTCCTCTACACATTGTGTGCACCCGCAGCACGGCACCCTATCCCACAAGCCCACCATACAGAGTGACGGCTCAGCCCAGCCTCCCCAAACCGTCTTTGTTTCAGTGAAATCATGTTGCCATTCTGTATCCCCCCTCTAATGCCCGGCTCCCCGCCCCCTATCCTAAGGTCAATATCCCGGGTTCCCCGCCCTGCAATCCATCATATTATCGGGCTTCCCCTCTACTCACCCGGGCCAGCTCAGCCTCCCTATGTAACAACACGGCTCCACCTTATCCGACCTCCTCCAACCGATTGCTTTGAACCGGATGTTCTTCGCTCCAACTGACGTCACGTCCGCTGACCTCGTTCTGGGAGGGGTCGCAGCGATGACTCAAGCGTTGGGCGGAGCGTCGGTGTGCTGAGCTTCCTGGTTACCACGTGGTTTGACTCAGCGCAGAGTGATGTTATAGCCAGAGCCAGCTGTGACATATCCAGCATGGCCAAGCCAGGCAGACAGATAGCTAACATGGAACAATTCTACAAATCATGAAGTCACACCATATATTTAGTCACATGTTAGTCTACATATTGCTGTTCAGATTTAAAGTGACTCACTCTATAGGCACCAAAATAATTTTATCTTAAAGGGATCCTATAGTGCCAGGAAAACAATGGGTTAATAGGTACCCCCCACCCCTGCAGCCACTTACCTGAATCCAGCACTGATGTCCTTCGTCGCTGGGTCAGGCTCTGCCCTTGCTCCTCCCTGCCCGGGGGAGACCTAACGCGCATGCGTGGTAATGGCTGCATGCATTAGACCTCCTCATAGGAAAGCATTATTCAATAATTATTTAATGCTTTCCTAAGGGGAAAACCTGACGCTGGAGGTCGTTCCTTATCCGCCATAAACAGGTTGGCAAAGCCAGGTGCGAAGCTCATCCCCATCGCCCTCCCACATCCCTGCAGCTACTAGTCTAAACTAAACCAAAAATAATTACTGGTTAAAATGAGCTATAGACTTTTTTAATATAAAATCTATATGTAAAAGCTTAAAATATTTAGATTGAGTTAAAAAATAGTTAATCGCGGGGGTGGAGCCAGCTCTCGACGATCGAAGCCCAATACTGCTTCACATATAGCCCAACAAGGTGTGGGGAGGAAAACTAAAAAGCTGATATAGCTGACCTGCTGCGGAGACTGCATGGCGGGTCTGGGCCTAACATGGTGCCCGAAATGGAGGAATACTCCGACAGCTCAGAAGACATGCCCCTCCACAGTCCCGAGACTCTGGGGTTCCCACCTGAGCTCAGTATACATGACATACACAAGCATCTCACACCTCTACCTGAGTACCTACGTTGGTTGGGGGCACAAGTGCTATGAATAGTACTACAGTCAATATGGAATTTAATTGCTACATACTGTACCATTCTACTGTTCCAATCTGCATCTAACTCTTAATTTTAAAAATTGTGCTGTTACCATAAATGCCATGCTGATGTTTTGTTTTAATTGGGCTTGTTATAGCTATCATGGCTATTCATGCAGATTGTTACTGCAAGCACAACAAAAATAAAGAATTCAAAAAATATATAGTTATCGCTGAACACTACTTCTCAAGCGAGATAATAGGATAGAGGGAACTAATGTCTGCAGTAACTAAAAAATAGACCTTACTCCATACTACATCTTTAATGTGTCTTAAAATACTCCCAGTGTCTTTTAGATAACTTTGTATTTTATGGACTATGGGTTGTAGGCATATGTCAATGTATTTGGATACTCTACATGATATAGAACCAATCCCTAACACTATAGGTCTTCACGGAGGTTGAATTGTTATTTTCAGTCGTTGGAGCGGGCTAGATGGTGGTATTAACACTATAGAGTCAGGAATACATGTTTGTGTTCCTGACCCTATATTGTTCCTTTAAGTACCCTCTTTTGTATAGGGTGTCTCTTTTTAGTGTAGCTAGTACCTATTTTTTTTGTTTGTTTACCATTTATTAAGTGGTCTATATTATTATTTACTAAATGTTTACTTTAGAGCTGTGGAAACTGACATTTAATGTGGATAAGTGCAAGATAATGCACCTTGGACGTAAAAACTCCAGGGGAGAGTACTGGATATTTGATACCCTACTAATCTCAACATCTGAGGAAAGGGATTTAGGAGTAATTATTATTTTAAAGATAGGAAGACAATGTAATAGAGCAGCTGGAAATGCCAGCAGAATGCTTAGTTGTATAGGGAGAGGTATTAGCAGTAGAAAGAGAGAAGAAAGAGAGAAGTGCTCATGCCATTGTACAGAACACTGGTGGGACATCACTTGGAGTACAGGTAGTTCACGACTTTTCAAACTAATTGGTTCCGAAGCCTGGTTCATAAAGTGAGAGTTCATAATGTGAGAAGTAATATCCCATTGACACAATGTAATAAACACGGGTTCTGTTCCTGCCCAACAAATTTTACCATTGAAAACCTAAATTATTAAGTACAAATACAAAATGAAAGCATAGCAAATACATGTATGTTGTATGAATTTTAAAGGCATACATACTATATTGAAATCTTCATCAAATTATCATCAATCCTCATACTATTCAATGAAGAGACATGCTGCACTTGTTGAATGGGGGCACCTGTCCTAAGCCTCCTACTTATTCACTTTCTTCATTATCAGCTTACCCCTCTCTTTTATCACTTTTCTTTTACTTTTATTTTTACAGCTCTCAAACTCTCCTCCTTCTCCTCTCTTACTTTCAAGCTTGCATCTCTTTTTTAGCACTTTTTTTTTACACCTCTCAAACTTTCTTCTTTCTCCCCTTTTTCAGGCTTTTCAGCCTTCCTCCTCCTCCTTACTGTTGCTGCCTGCCAAAACATGGCACAATGGCAAACACACATACACACAGACAGCTACATCAGACACACACAGACAAATCAATTCAAATCGATACTCAATAGCACACAGTGCAATAATATTACAGGATCTGTAATGTATGCCCATGAAAGCACAAAAAGAATACAGTACAATCTAAACCTGTTTTTTAGACTTCCCTTTTATCCTGATCTTCATTTCTCTTCTTGTCTGCTCCTAACCACAAATTCTTCTTCTTCTCTTCTTGTTTGTGCTGCAAAGCACTCTCCTCGGTCCTGATCCGTGGACCATTGACACAAAATGGCGGTGAAACAAAATGGCGGCACATCTAGAAAAAAGTTCATAAAGGCGGGAGTTCATAAAGTGAGAAATGCCTGTATTGTACGCAGTACTGGAGACCGTATCTTCGGAAGGATATTGATACTTTAGAGAGAGTTCAGAGAAGGGCTTCTAAACTGGTTCATGGATTGCAGGATAAAACTTACAAGGAAAGGTTAAAGGAACTTAACATGTGTAGCTTGGAGGAAAGACGAGACAGGGGGGATATGATAGAAACATTTAAATACATAAAGGGAATCAACACAGTAAAGGAGGAGACTATATTTAAAAGAAGGAGAACTACCACAACAAGAGGACATAGTCTTAAATTAGAGGGGCAAAGGTTTAAAATTTATTTCAGGAAGTATTACTTTACTGAGATGGTAGTGGATGCATGGAATAGCCTACCAGCTGAAGTGGTAGAAGTTAACACAGTGAGGAAGTTTAAGCATGCGTGGGATATGCATCCTAGACTTAAAGGACCACTATAGGCACCAAGACCACTTCAGCTTAATGAAGTGGTCTGTGTGCCAGGTCCAGCTAGGTTTAACCCTTTTTGCAGAGAAACTGCTATGTTTACATTAGGGTTAATCCAGCCTCTAGTTGCTGTCTCATTGACAGCCGCTAGAGGTGCTTCCGCGCTTCTCATTGTGATTTGCACAGTGAGAAGACACTGACATCCATAGGAAAGCATTGAGAATGCTTTCCAATGAGACTGGCTGAATGCGCGCGCGGCTCTTGTCGCGCATGCGCATTCAGCCGATGATGGAAGAAGAGGGAGGAGAGTCCCAGCGCCGAAGGAGCCCGGCGCTGATAAAAAGGTAAGAGATTAACCCCTTCCTCCCCCTTGAGCGCCACAGGAGTGGGACTCTAAGGGTGGGGGCATCCTCAGGGCACTATAGTGCCAGGAAACGAGTATGTTTTCCTGGCACTATAGTGGTCCTTTAAGATAAGGCCAGGGACTAATAAAAAGTATTTTGAAATATTGGGCAGACTAGATGTGCCGAATGGTTCTTATCTGCCTTCACATTCTATGTTGTATATTTAGCATCAGGGGTGCACATATAGCAGTGACTCCTAATCCATAAGGATGATTTTAAGGCATAGTGGTATGTCATTGTAATTCTCCTTTTTATTAAATTGCTTTTCCCTTTTATTTTTAATAGAAGCCTAAGGGTGCACTACCCGGAATCATCAAGGTGGAGAGAATGATGATGTTCATCCAAGACGAGTGTCTGTGGGCAGGTACGGCAGAGTCCAATCTGGGAGCGTATATGATGTGTTTTGTGAGTATAGCGTCGTAACTCTGTACGGCTCTTCACATTTCCAACAACCACCATTGAACACCAATGATAGGAGGCTAAATGAAGGGGCAGGAGTGCCCGATAATTACTCTATCACGTGAAGAACATTGGGGCAATTATGGTGAAGGAGAGGGAGGCCCAAAGATTATTTCTGATTGGGACAATTGCACACATGTGATCCTGGGGCGAGTGTCCGGCGCACGATTTAGAGATAGAGGACTCTTGTAACCAAATTACAGCTGACTGAGGACTGAGGAGTAAAGCAGGTTTTGGCAATGAAAGGACATTTTTTTTTTTTGTGCAAGTATATTTTATTTGATTATTTTAACTCAGTTTTACTACAACTTTTTTTTTTTAATTCTTTATTTTTGTTTGTGCATGTGAAAACAGGTTACATGAATTCTTGCAGTGCCACAACAGCCACTGCAGGCATATTGTGAACATTAAGTTGCTATGGCACGCAGTTAAAACAGCACAAGTTTTATTATTTTTCATGCAAAATTAACCCGCCATATAAGACAAGTATGTTAGTGCATAGATCACTTTGCTAGACAAAGAATTACAGACCTTCTAGTACCTTGCCAAAAAATCATTAACATGAACAATTGCAAAGTATGCATCTGAACTAAAAGCTGGCTCATCAATCAGGTTATAGGGCAATTATAGCTCAATCGCTTCAGGTTACATGCTCTGTGTACTCCTACAGAAACTAACGTAGTGCAGGTTACAGATGTTAAGTTAAACGCAGGCTGAGTTTTTATATCTAATGCAATGGGTCACGATGGGATCTACATGTTTATGTCAGTAGATATAAATTTTAGCTTAAGTAAATGTGGGCTTGCAAGAAAATTACATGGTTAAACTTTGATTTTACCACTGCCAGAACGGGTAGGCAGGCGGCCACCGGGGCTGAGTGAATTCCTGTATTATTACGTATTAACAATAGACATAGTAATATAATTGTATGGCTATGGTATATGTTAGAGCACCTTTTAGGTGGCAAGAAAAACATAGGTAGCTGATGTTCTAAAACTACAGCTTCTCTTATTTAGTCAGTGTCCTGTGGTGTTGTGAGAGTCTCTATGCTGGCATGTATGACTCCTTCCCCTCGGACACTGATCCCTCACCATGGCAGTTCAGCTTCGCAGGTGCTCATCCGTGTGTGGTAAGTCTCCCCATGTCAGGCTTGGTGGTCTTGGGGGTACAGCGCTTGTAGTCGTGTAGGTCCGTTTGGCTGTTACACGCTGCAGCACAATTTCATTTCGCGCCTTCTGCACTTGGCCCCACCTAGGGGTAACCATTGCGGGCTGGGGGTTTCTCACTCTCCCAGATCGCGGTGAATATTTATGTGGTATTCTTTTGCTTGAAGCCCTCTGGCAGGGCAGATGATGTAAACTCGGTTCAAAGGGGCTCCGTGGTGCAGGAGCAGATAATGTTGAGCTGTCTGCCGCCGCCATTTTGTGAGGCAGTTCGAGGGTTCCGTGCGCCTCAGCCCCCGCCCGTCCCAGGCTCTCCTCAGTGGGGACCGGGATGACCCCCCCCGGTCCAAAGGGGGGGAAACAGGGCCGGCGAGCAGCTCTGGCAGTCAGCTTGTGGCAGCAGCGGAGGGAGACGCAGCAGCGGCCGTCCACCACGCTCCCCTCCCGGGTAGGCCACAGCCCTCGAAGGTCTGCGCCCCCTTCAGAGGATCAGAACACCAGATCTCGGGGTCTGCCGCTGCTCCCACAGCTATGGGTGTCTTGTAGACTCGTTTTGTGTGCGAAATTCCGCTGTAAGTAGCTTAAAAGGCTGGGTTTCCCCAGAGCCTCTCCTGCATGTGACCGGTTAGCATGGCGGTCCGGCTCCGCCCCCACACAACTTTGTTTTTAAAGTTGATAAATTGTACTTAGTACCATTAAAAGTCCTCTTGACTTCCAGGAGTCTCTACCTGCAACCCTAAGAGCCAGGTTCCTAAGATTTTGTTAAAAGTGAGCTCAATATCTATTATCTCCAAAGAAGGTTACTTTACATACTACACATTGGTCTTTTATCTGTTTCTCTCTCCAATTTTTATTGTTACTACAGAATGAAGGAGAGGTGTGATGCTGGCCAAAAAGCACAAAATAATAATTTACGGAGCAAGATTGTTAGGCTCTGGTACATGTGAGGGGTTTACTTACTACATATTTATAGTTCGACATTTTGAATTACCATCTGTACTACATATGTTTTAATTTTTTTATTTTTATGTAACCTGGTGTATATCCCTATTTATATCAAGTATAAAAGGGTAAGCAACTTTTGTTTGTTTTCCATTTAGAGCTTCCCTCAAGTTGTAGGTTTTATCACTTGTACTACTATTATTTACTGCTTAAAGGTTATGCATACGTGCCACCAATTAATATTTTCTTATAAGTGTGACAGGAACTAGAATGATCGAATATAAAGTAAATAACTCAATCCAACTTTCCATTTTTTAGGTATTAATTAGAATATATTTGTCCAAGGAAGTATCTATACATTTTTTAAACTTTTATAGTTGAGCCGCATATAATCTGGGGATATGAAGACCGGGTGGATTACACAGTCGTATGAATTCTTCTCACCGCTACAGTGTAACATTTATTTGGTTACTTTAGGATTAAACACATACATTTCTGCAATGAACTCTAAGATTAAAGGGACACTGTAGTCACTATAACCACTTTCTCTCTTTGAATTAGTTATAGTGCCTGGAGTGCCCTGGCACTGTCCCTCCATTCAGTGTTGCACCATGTTTGTGCAGTATGCCACAAAATAAGAGTCCCTGGCCACCCACAGTCCGGCCCCTTCTGTATGTGTAGCTAAGGCAGAGATTACACACTTCCTTGTTGTCATACCCATTCATACCGTCAGTTGGAGCTCTGACAGGCTGAAAGCAGTCAGCTGACACTCTCAGCCAATCACAGCTGCCCATTGCTGCTCAGGGTAATACTTCCTTATTAGCCGAAGCAGCACAAAGGGGATGGACTGCCGTGGTCTCTTGTTTAACATTAAAACATTACAACATTAAAAACTGTTTAATGCTGAAAGAAATGATGGCACCAGGAGACTCCATATACTATAACCAGTTTAATGAGATGAAGCAGATACACCCCCATCCGTGGCGCTGAAGGGGTTATACCTCCTTCAGCAGCTTACCTTAATCCAGAGCCGGGCCGACGTCAGCTCCCCCGTCCAACATCACTGGAGCCGAATGCGCATGCGCGGCAAGTGCAAGTGCGCGCATTCAAAGTGTCCATAGGAAAGCATTTCCCAATGCTTTCCTATGGATGCTCTGCGCGATGGAGGTGAAATCCGGAAGACAGCCACTAGAGGCTGGATTAACCCCAAATGTAAACATAGCAGTTTCTCTGAAACTGTTATGTTTACATGTGAAGGGTTAAAACCTGAGGGACCTGGCACCCAGACCACTTCATTGAGCTGAAGTTGTCTGGGTGACTATAGTGTCCCTTTAATAGGAGTATCTCAATATTTTTGCCCCTATATTGTAGATATGTATTATACACTTGTGGCATGGTATATTTCATTTTGCACATAGCAGTGATTATGTGTGATGCTCCTTGGTAGTCCATTGAAGTGCATGTGGTTTCTACAGAAGCTGCGGCAGTTGACATTCATTGGTTGAGAGAATCAGGTGACCGCTCTCAGTCATTAATTGTAATTCTGTGCAGTGAAAGTTTGACATTAGCTTGGCTGGCTGATAACACCCCTATCTATGACGCTGCCAGTGATGGAGTTATACCAGCAGAGCAGCAGAGGGGTTAATCTCTGTATGTTCTTTCAAAGCGTAATGCTGTACACACAGACTTTAGGCACCATAACAACTTCAGGTAACTAAAGTGGTCATGGTGTCCTTCCCTCCTCCTGGGCCCGCCCACGCCCTACCTAGTTCGCTGACAATGATGCAGGACAGAATGTGGTGTGTATAGTGGAAGTGAATTAGAATGTGTGTAATGGATGTAGTGTTTGTGTGTATTAGATACTGTTTGTGCAGTGAATGCAGAGTGTGTGTTTGTGTAGCGGATGCAGTGTGTATAGTAAAAGCAAAGTGTGTTTGAGTAGTGGATGTAGTGTGTGTACAGTGATGTAGTGTGTGTTTGTGTAGTGGATGTAGTGTTTGTGTGTACTAGATGAAATGTGTTTAGTGGACAGTGTCTGTCGTGGATGTAGTGTGTGTATTAGATGCAGTGTCTGTGTATAGTGTGTGTACTGTGTTTGTGTAGTGGATGCTGTGTGTACAGTTAATGCAGAGTGTATATTAGTGTAGTGAATGCAGAGTGTGTGTCAGTATAGTCAATGCAGAGTGTGTGTCAGTATAGTCAATGCAGAGTGTGTGCATAGTTTAGTGAATGCAGAGTGTGTGTTAGTGTGTAGTGAATGCAGAGTGTGTCAGTGCAATGAATGTAGTGTGTGTGTAGTGAATGCAGAGTGTGTGTTAATGTGTAGCGAATGCAGAGTGTGTGTTAGTGTATAGCGGATGCAGAGTGTATTAATGTGTAGCGAATGCAGAGTGTGTGTCAGTGTAGTGAATGAAGTGAGTGTGTAAGTGTGTAGTGAATGCAGAGTGTGTGTTAATGTGTAGTGAATGCAGAGGGTGTGTCAGTGTAGTGAATGTAGAGAGTGTGTTAATGTGCAGTGAATGCAGAGTGTGTGTTAGTGTAGTGAACGCAGAGTGTGTGTCACTGTAGTGAAATCAGAGAGTGTGTTAATGTGTAGTGAATGCAGAGTGTGTGTCAGTGTAGTGAATTCAGAGAGTGTGTTAATGTGTAGTGAATGCAGAGAGTGTGTTAGTGTGTAGTGAATGCAGAGTGTATGTTAGTGTGTAGTGAACGCAGAGTGTGTGTTAGTGTAGTGAATGCAGAGTGTATTGTACAAGTGTATACAGTGTGTGTTGTGTTAGTGTATGTAGTGTGTGTGTTGTATTAGTGAATGCAGAGTGTATTGTACAAGTGTATGCAGTGTGTGTTGTGTTAGTGTATGTAGTGTGTGTGTTGTGTTAGTGTATGCAGTGTGTGGTGTTAGTGTGTGTGTTGTGTTAGTGTATGCAGTGTGTGTGTTGTGTTAGTGTATGTATTGTGTGTTGTGTTAGTGTATGCAGTGTGTGTGTGTTAGTGTATGTAGTGCTAGTGTATGCAGTGTGTGTGTGTGTGTTGTGTTAGTGTATGCAGTGTGTGTGTGTTGTGTTAGTGTATGCAGTGTGTGTGTGTGTTAGTGTATGTAGTGTGTGTGTTGTGTTAGTGTATGCAGTGTGTGTGTTGTGTTAGTGTATGTAGTAGTGTGTGTGTGTGTTATGTTAGTGTATGTAGTGTGTGTGTTGTGTTAGTGTATGCAGTGTGTGTGTGTTGTGTTAGTGTATGCAGTGTGTGTGTAAATGTGCTATCTGGGGGGGAGGGGGAGGAAGGGGCGTTTTCACAGTAATTTTCTATTAAATTTAAATGTTTCTCCCTCCTCCCTGCTTCTTACCTGTGTCCAGGGATGGGGGAGATTCATTACCTGGTGGTCCGGTGGCATCGGGGGCCCCCCGGCTCCCTGTTACCGCAGAGGGGACCCAGCACACTGCCTCTACTCTTCTCTCTTCTAATAACTCTCGCGAGACCGCGGGTCTCGTGAGAGTTATTAGAAGAGAAAAGAGAGAAGAACAGGCAGTGTGCTGGGCCCCCTCTGCGGTGACAGGGAGCAGGGGGGCCGCGGCTGCACATATAGATAGCGATATTCGCTATCTATGTGTGCAGAAAGGGAAAGTGGGCCGCCAGGCCCGTGACAACCATCATGGTTGTCAACCCCTGATGGTGGCCCTGACGGGAAGTGCAGAGACCCTGGACGGTGATATTCGGCACGTGTGCCAGCTGGTTGGTGCCAATGTGGTTTGGTACTTCCCCTCCATAAATATACAAGGGCTGACTGTGTCTGTCGCGTGTGGATGTTGTGGATGGCCCGGGCTGGGTCTCTGGACGAGCTTGTTTGCAGTTGGTGTCTCCGGGGAGATCCCGCCATCCGGAGCTGAGAGCTGTGTGCAGGTGGACTCACGCGCTTGAGCTGGGTTCCAGGTATGTGAGCACTGGTGTTAGGTCTGCATTTACTGAGTAGGGGCGCCTTCCACGCCTTCCTCCTTCTCTTAATTGTGATCAGCCTTTCAGCTTTGCGAGGTGATGCTGGTTGTGGTACTGTTGCCACCATGATCTGACTAGAGGAGTCCACGATTGCCCGTCTCTGTACCCGTTTGGCGAGTTTCCCCCAGAGTTGTGCCCAAAAGTGGTCAAATGCTTCCGCTATGCGATCCTCATGGGGGGCCCAGAGATCCGGGCTCCATGTGGTAGCCATCTTTGCAGCAAGCACGCGGGTCTGCAGAGTCAGACGTTTAGTACTCGTTATAACCCCTCACTGGGTTGTTCGTAGCCTGTTGCTCCGTGGGGACCGGGATAATTCCCGCCGGCCC